TTTTGCAACAATTTAAATAGTATACCAAATTTTCAATTCAACTTGTATACCAAATTGAATGATGATTAATTAAACAATTAAAGCGTTAAAAGGTAACAAACAAACTCTTTCATATTTATAATATCAGTTGTATCCCGCAGATTGAATCCAGTGGGTTAGAACAAAAAGTACCGTAAGTGCTAAGTAACCTACCCGTGTGCCATATTTATAATATTAATATATACTAATATTAATATTAAATAATTAAAAAAATAAATTATAATTTAAAGAAAAAAAATATTGTATTTTAATTAAAATTCAAACAAGAAAACACGTTTGAAGGGAATAAGTGGATAAGTAAAACAACAATTAATCACGCCATAATTAGTTTATATTGAATCATAATGCTTAACCTAAACGACTAACCACAAAATAAAATATTATCAAAATTATAAATCAAATAGATTTATTGTGTAAATAAAGTAAATATAGAAACTTAATCATTTATACAAACAGTATTAAAGTAATATTTTGATACCTACTTAATAAAGAAATAAATTATATATGTATGCGTTTATAACTCAGTTCAGAAAACAACAACAAACTAGATAATCTTTTCAAATGTCCAAACGAATGTCACAAACGTAATAAATATAGCTGACTCGACCCAATAATCCTACTATACTATCCTACTACTAATACACATAGATGTTTATTACTCTTACACAAAAATTAAGGAACGGATTAATTAAAAACCACCTCAGTGGTGTAATGGTGTAAAGCTACTTCATCTTCAGATATTCACAAATTCGATCCTCGCATAATTATTATGCATTTGCATTTCGTATGGTTCTAGCATAGGATTCTTGTGAGTCCTTCCCATAAGCGTCATAAAAGGTGACTATTGGGAAGGTAAGGGTCGAGGGATTAGCAGCAGCGTCCTTCTCAAAACATCATCAAAGGTTGCCAAACCGCCTGCCATGGCAACTGCTAACAAAACCCCCCTTATGGGGAAGGTTTATGTTCAGCAGTGGTCAGTTAACGGCTGATAGCAGGATGTATGATGTTAATACATTTGAATTCATGATTATGTCTGATTACATAGGTGTGAATGTTTTGAAAAAAGTATTTATTTCCCTATCATCAGTTTCCTAGTATCCATAATATACGCTCTTCTTAGTCTGGATTTAAACGACTCTGTGTAATATGTAATGTATTTTTAGAGTACAAAAAAAATCAATAATTTACATACGGTTGTGTATACGTGCATCACCTCGCGTACCCGCCCAATATACATACAAAGCCTACTATAACCAAATTAACATAATCATTTTATCAGCACATTGACTCATACAATATCTACCTTGCAAATATTATCGCATTTAAAAAATTTGTTCTAATAATCAAACCTTATTTACTTATTATTTATAAAACTATCACCAGATTATATACATGCGCGCATCATGCAAAATTGTTCGAGTTTTAATGGCATTAATGTGATAACCATAGTAACTCATTTAATGCAAAAACTTTGTATCTAATTCAATAGGTATATAGAATATTTTTGACTGCGATAAAATATTTATTTCCAAGAGGAATTATAAAAATTCGTGTTCGAATAAACTTTTACAAACTGATGATTAATATGATAATAAAAGACGATAAAAACATCTTTGTTTGTAAATAAATACCTTTTGCTTAAACTTGGCATAAGGCCAATAAAAAAGTTAATAACTTTTTAACAATAAACTTTCGCGGATCAATGTCACTAATAAGCCGCTACATAATAAAAATATAATGGCAATGTATTCATAATTTGGAAATGCGAGCCCACTTTCATTGCTGATTTACTAACACAATAATCGCATGAATCAGACGGCAAACCCGATGCGTACGCGCACGTGTGTAGTGTTCCGCGCACGTGACCTCCATGTTAACACGATGTCTTCAATCAGTAATAACAAGATATACGTACAGTGAGTACTCTAAAGAGAGTCTCACTAAAAGAATACCAAAATGTTTATTTAAAATACTACCCGTATTTTACTTATCATGCCTTATTCAGTTATATTATTGAAATATAATTTTTTATGCAACTTAGAATGGCAAACAAACTGACGGCCCACCTGATGGAAAGTGATAACCGTCGCCTATAGACATGAACAGTATCATAGATATAACAGAGTATACAGTTTCGCTCATGATACCCTCCATACGTTGCCATTCCTGAGGAGTAAGGTGTTATGCCTCCAGTAAATTCATATCCTTATTTATCCTTATTTGATTATTTTGATCACAATATTGAGGAATACATCATTAGTCTCATTTCAATTTCAACCGTTAAGTTTCCACTGCTAGAGATGGGCCTCCTTCAGCCTAACAATGCACCTGTGCATCACTTGGTAATACCATTCTATTTCCTCATCCACAGAATTCTTGCAACACATTTGAAGTCATAGCTTTATGTGTGTGGTATCACCAACAGAATGAAGTGACACATACTACACTGCTTTTGCTATTAAGGAGTTGCCATTTGGCAGTCTTTCTTCGTTATCATCTATACGACCTATATAAGCGGACCATTTATTATAATATAAATATAAAATCTAATCTAAATATTAACAGTCGTGGTTAACGCCTCTTTAAAGTGGTTACCCACAGACATGTGACTGTTAATATTTTGGATTTATTTAACTAGGTCTTTTACGGGACAATCAATAATAACAAAGCTGTTCATTTAATAATTACTGCCTATTGAAATTATAGAAATTGTGACTTATGTTTGACGTAATGTGTATATATATACATAATACAGCCTTACCTGTTATGAGGTGATGTATTCGTCAGTATTCTTTGTGGATTTTTAGACACTTATATTGTTGATTTATACTTTGACAAATAAGTACCTATAAAGTGCATGTTGAGAATATATGATGAGAATACTTCTTTTTATTCCAATCAATTTATTATTTTATTGATTTAAGAACCAATAAAATATATACAAGACAATCTTAGACTAACATTTATTTATATTTTTCAAATAATTTTATAATTGGAGTTTTACTTTTGACTATTTTAACGTTAAAAGCATTTCACATAAAAATCCTAATAAAATTAATTCATAATAATGATTATAAATTAGACCGTGTAAATCTAGTTTTACTCAGTAATGTCACTTGACCCTCAATCAATACTAAATGGTCAAAGCATAGTAATAGTGCATATAACTAAGTCATGGAAAACCCGATGCCAATCAGTTCGATGTTTTATATCTAAAAAAAATCCCTAAACAAAAATCTATTTGATTTAACTCTGTTTAAAATTTCCAATTAATACCTCTATTACATATACTTTACTCTAATAGTTTTTATGCTTAACACACACAACTTCATTAGAAACTAATGTCATTGTCATGACGTTCTAAAGACGTTGACGTCACCATAAATTTCGTGCGTAGGTATATTGTATAATTGGTGACGCTGAGATATCTGGATTTTCCTCATAAACGCTATTGAATAGGTAGAAAAACCTTGCAATACAACACTTGCATGAATATGTAATAATAAAAAACAGTATGTATAGAAATAAGTTCCATGAAGTATAAATTTATTACTGGGTAAATGTATAAAAACTAAACATTTTATTCACAGCGTGATCGTAAGAGGAATTGTCCATTGTTGTCGCTGTAGTGTAACGGAATGATCGCCTTCCCTACATTTCATCGAGCTTGTTGCTGTCCAATAACAGAACATTAATAATTGAGCCTACTGCAGTTTCAAAAATTAATTCAGGTCCATTGTCATTAACACAGAATCATTTTTGTCGGCTTTCAACTTATAACCACTAAGTCTTTGTGGCAAGAGTAAACCACTCATCACTACATTTTAAAGGGTTTCATAAGTTTATCGTATCGTTTTCAAGTTGTTAGATCGTCAGATGATCTATCAATTGATGATCTAACAACTTGATATGTCATCAAAATAAATATAGGTAAAATTAAAATTTTACCCCACAATGTCAACAACAACAAACAAAAGAATGCAATAATTAGAATTCATATGAATATTAAAAATGTAAAAAGCGTTTTTAAAGTAATAAATTATCATCATTCACGAGGCGCATGGGCCAGTTAGCGTAAATTTTAACTTCTAAACTTGCCAGGCGGCATTTATATTTTATTTGGGATAGTTGGCACTGGTAGTACCATGTTATAAATTTTGTTTAATTTAAATTCCATATATTGTTATAAACAGTAAAAAAAATTCTTACAAATCTATAGCTATTTACTAATTATTATGATTTCTCTAGAAATTTAACGCTGTTGTGGAAATGTTAATCATGCTGTGTGTGTACACAAGTCTTTCAATTTTAATCTAACCTATAAACCGTAATTATATATTTATAAATATTAAATGATTATAATTTGATTGGTGTGATCCATTAAAACAAAATAAATTTGTTTTCTATTCCTGTTATTTCTCTACGCACATATCTTACGTGTATACGAGTACACACAGTGTATTCGCTACATAGAGTGTAATTATTATTATATGGTATCAAGAAACCAAAAACAATGTAGGACGACCCCCTATTAGATGGAATGACGAGCTCAAATGCATTGTAGGAAGTCAGTGGATGTAGGTGGTTCAGGACCATTCGTTATGGTAATCTATATCGTCATAGTCATAGAACACTGACGGATCTTTATATGTAATCTTTGTCAGATCCGTCAGTATTCTACGACTATGACGATATGGGAGGTCTATGTTCAGCAATGAATTAATAATGATTGATATAATAATGATGATGACTAAAAAAATACGAATTTATTAAATAGATAACAAATTATGGAGACTAGCTGGTCGTTCAGGAATCACAATGCATGAGAGCTTCCATGTATTGAGTGATGTCTTTGGTGTTGTTCATATCTATAGGTGATGGATGCCACTTTCCATCAGATAGGATATCAGCTTTGTTTGCTATTCACACAAAATATTTACGACTTTTTTTTTTAATTTCAGAGAGTAGTGGCAACATCCTGGGTGCCAGCGAGTGGAACACAGGGTACTCTTCAACGGCACCCGTGTACCCGACCTATGGGGCCTTACAGCCGTCGTACTATAAACCTGAGCCTGCTGCTATACATTTACCTACAGGTATCTATTAAAAATCTTCTCCTTTCCTACTCCAATCATAGATTTATTATATTTTTTGTTAAATTATTATCACGTGACTGGGGTAAAATGGCTAACAGGGATAAATACCCTATATCCTTAATCCCAATTGTTATTTATTATATGTATACCAAATTACGATCAACAAATTACAATTGAATTCATTATTATATTTATAACAATAGTATATAGGGGAAAAGGATTGTTAATAATGGAGTTTAACAACCTGTTATTTGCAATGTACTCTATAGGTCGACCTCCACATGGTTATCCTTGGAAACCATCGTGGTTAATTTTTGTTGAATTTGTTACTATGGGTCTTTCATCTTCATCTGTCATCCCTCATTGGTAAACAAACAATTTTTTTTATAACACAGGGGGCAACCGAGCATGCGGCTCACCTGATGGTAAGTGACCACCGTCGCCCATGCTCACCTGCAACACCAGAGCAATATATATTTTATTATATACAAAAAATAATTTAAATTTATTTATACTTTCCAAATCATTACTGATCTTGGAAAACTGTATGTGTCACTCGCTAGTGTACATTGATAGCGCAGACAGAGTTACCATTTTAAATTCACCCATTAAAAAAATCTTAGAATTACCTACACAATATAACCCCCTATAAGTTTGTATACCGATATTAGATATGAATCAAACTGCCTACTTTTAAATTAATTCTTATTTGTTCTTACTTACAGAATACTTTCAGTAAACTGTTTGTTTAAAATTCTAATAAATTTAAATCGTTTTAAGTAACAGCATTGTAAGCTGTTAATTTATCAATAAATAAATAAACAGCATTTCAAAACCAAACCATAATGTTGCCAGCTTTTTATTTTTTTTTTGAGCCATAAACCAATAAAATTTTAATGGATTAAGTTGTATCAGAATTAAAATATTTAAACACACACTGGTGACCTTCTCATTTCCGTAGCGGATTATGAATGTGTATTAATTAATGTATTTAATAGTAGTACTAATTTGTTATAATAAACAAACCTCTTCAATTTACAATATAATATGGCGGTTGACCACAACGATAGCCGTTGTATAATAAAGTTCAAATTAAAACCTGTAAACGATTTATATGATCTAATTACACGTTACAAGTAATAATAATAATATAAAAATTAATTTTAGACCATTGTTTAAAATTTTATTACACAAAAAAAAATTACATAATTGTGGGTATAGAACATTATGAAAATAAAATATTAATTATTCATATATTCGTCTGACATAAAAAAACATTTACTCTCAGTTTCGTAACTTCCTCCTTTTTTAAGGCGGTTAAATATATAATAGATTATAATAGAACTTATTAAGATCTCTATTCTTATTATTCTTACTTTTCTGGTAAAAAGAGTAAGAATATATTAAAATTATAACAAGACGGTGTAGGTACAGTAGAAATAGTTAAAAAAAAATTAAAGAAGTTTTTATATTCGTAAGACCGCAAAGCAATATTTTATAGAAATTTTGTCTGTGTATTTGTTGCAGCATCAAGCAAAAACTTTTGCGCATTTATACTATATATATATATATATATATATATAACAATCTCGTGTCACAGTGTTTACAGTTACACTCTTCCAAAACGGTTCGATCGATTTTATGATTTTTAATAGGTTATATATATTTAGTAGGTATGAAAATGGATCATAAAGTGTATTTCATACCGCTAGGTGATTAGAGTGTTCCTATCCAAAAAAATAATTTATATGGCAGCACAATGTTTGTCAGCTAGTGATATTATGAGCACAATAATATCATGGTCATAAAACATATGGGAAAGCCCATGATTCAACTAATTAAAACGACGTCACTACTCAAATAATATCATATTTCAATAATAATGTATTATTTGTTTCCTCTTGTTCCTACTCATATTTATTAATAAGGTACATTTACACAGGAATTGTAAGCATAGTAGGTTATTATTAATATGAGATTAGCACTATAGTGAATGTTGCATTCTGTACTGTATTGTGTATGCAAATATTTCGTGTGTAAAGATATTAACATATGTTTTTATCTATTTTCAGTATTACCAGAAATTCCGTTGGGACACTCAGAGTACGGCGGCTACCAAAGCAGTGCAGCGAGTTTCAAAGGCAGCCCCAGCGGTACTGGTCCAGCCCTCACAGACCTGAACACTCCCACCATGCCAGCGCAGCGCTACGACTCAACCTATTACAATACCTGGCCCACAAATAATTACAACTACAACAACTACCAATACAACAATATAAATAACAACACAGCTTGCCTACAATCCCATACGCCATATATAAATCCTAACCCACAAATGATCATGCCGAACCTTTATTCAACAGTGAATCAGAATCAGATTCACGTGCATTTACATAGTTCTATCGATAAACATAATTTGGAGCAGTATATTCCAAGTGAGATTAAAATTAGCGATATCGATGGTGGCATATCAATAACTACAGAACTACAGGGCAACGCGGAAGGAGCAGGGCTGGTGCAATCTTGCGAGTCAAATGAGGAAGCTAAACACGGTCTATACGGCTCTGCAAGTCAAGAAGTATGGCGACCCTATTGACAGTTCGCCTCTTCCTTCGAGGATAACCAACATTCCGTTGTACATATTGTGATATAGATGTGAAAACTTTTAAATAATTATGTATTTGTATAGAAATATTAATGTTAAACATTAATTAGATAAATGTTATTTGTTAATAAACGTACGAGAGGAGGCTGATAAGTTCGCGGCCTCAGGTGCCTAATGAATGATAAATATAGTTTTATATTTTTTTTATTTTTTAATAATTCCAATCGTCGCTGATTGTCGAGATGTGTGAGCATTCGCGGTACCCAACGCGCTCTAATTTTTTTTCTTTATAAAGGTCCATGTAAAATCTTTCTAATTCATTTCTTACGAGTACTAACATGTAGTTCTTCTGCTATCTGCCACAGTTTAATTCTTCGATCAGTTAGTACTAACTGTTCAACTTTTTAACTCTTTAGTCACTACCATTACTGGGCGTCCCGGGTAGAGATCGCCTTCACACGTCACAAAGTAGCCGAGTCCATTTTTTACCATCGTATATGAAGGTGCATAATCCTGAAGAACCATTGATATTTCTTTAAAAATTTGTTTTGGTTTAGTTCCTTTTTTAACAAGGAATGTAATTACAGCGCAGCACTCCAAGATGCGAAAATTTCCACATTCTTCTGACATGATGTTATTAATTGTTCCAGGGATTGAGTGTTAATGAACTAAGTACAAAAATAGGGTATTATTTATATTTATAAGGAGTCACGCAATTAGTATTATCAATAAGGAGATGTTGAGTCATCGCTAAGTACTTAAGTCGCTAACTTATCAGCCGCCTTTCGTACCTATTAAATCAAATAGTAAGATATTAAATTAATCGACCAATTCTTTTGATTTTCAATTGATACAACTTACATTCCACTGTAAAACCGCTACCTGCTTACAATATGGTCCATCTGAGGCGTTATTTCTCTAAATCTATCTCGTCATGGGTTGCCACTTCTGAGGACTAAGGTGTTATGCCTCTGTACACTATAAATTCATTATCGTATCCTTACCTTTCAAATCGAAACAGAGCCACACCTGCAATGCCTTTAGTGTTGTGTGTGATCATGGGCGGCGGTAGTCACCACCAGGTGAGCAGCATGCTTATTTGCCCGCTGTGTTGTAAAAAAAAATATGCAGATATCCATGCAGACGACTTTTGAACAAAGTCTTCCTCTGGTACCTTCAGCAGTAAATAGAGACAGTCTATGACCCCCGCCTATGACCTCTTGTCATAAGAAAACTTTTAAACTTTTGATGAAGGATATTACCCACATTTCTAATACATATGCTAATACATTAGCCCATGTAATTTGTAGTAATACGTCGAAGTCTCTGCAGGTCTAGCTTTTCGATTTAAATTAATTTGTATATTTCTGCTACCATTAGTGTGCGTACGACTTGCAACATTCAGAAATTGACAACTATTATTATTAGCAGATACTAGTCATATAGTCATCATTCTCCGATCATTATGAAACTAAATAATTCTAATCGACTAACCAGTGATATGAACTTTAGCAAAATAATACCTAGTTCAGAAAAATATCTTTGCAAGGCATAAAACACCACATAATCTCAGTAATAATAAATAAATACCTAATTTACCAGAGGGAGACTTTGTACAAAAGTTGTTTACTTAGGTACCTCTGTCCCATTAGTATTTCAACTGTAAAACAGTTGTGTTTGCATGGCTGTGTTTCGGTTTGAAGGGTGAGATATGGCGTGAATTTACAGTGTACAGAGGAATAACACCTGAGTCTTCAGGACTGTATCATGGGCGAAACAGTATACTCTATTATGTCCATGGTACTGCTCATGTCTATAGGCGACAGTTACCACTTTTCATCAGGTGGGCCGTCAGCTTGTTTGCCATTCTAAGTTCTATAAAAAAAATACCTAATAGTTAAAACATTATGTCACCCACCTAGATCATAATAACCCAAGCCCTTGATCAGGAAAGATAGGGAGTGAGGGATTGGTAGTATTGGGGCTACCAGCTGCATTACTAGCAATAAACCTTGTCAGATTAACCTCCATGTAGTCCCCTCTGGAAACCGTCTCGCTGAATTCAAGATGTATTTATCACGAGAGGCTAACGGACCTGCCTTTTCATTCTTACCTATCACTCCTCACTGATGCGCCAGTGTATACCGTGTATGTGATGGGTGTAAATACGACTTCAGCTGTGAGTTTAGTCCAAAATTTAACTAGGCAACACGTTCGAGAAATTACACCTCTTCACGCGTAAAATATGCATCTTGCCAATGATATTTTCTGAAAGCGATTCAAGAACCTATGTATTGCTCCAGCGGTGGACTAAAGCGGTCAGAGGCCCAGGCCAGTAAAGGTGAATGAAGCCCTCAGTTTTAAAAGATAATATAATTTTACAAGCTTTTTTATTTAGTTCATGTTTGTATGTATAGGTAAGTGTTTATTTTATTTAGTTGAAATCTTGCAAGTGAAATTTATACTAGACTAAACAACGTACATAGATTCATAAGGAAAATAGATACGTTTGGAAGCCCCCAGGACCAAAAGTCGGAAGAAGAGCAACCCACCTCAGGCCTTTGAACTTGTGAAATTCGTCACAAAAACTTGCTTTCACCTCCAGCTATAACCCCTTACTGAAACCCTGCGTATTAAAATTACACGGACGGGGTTACCAACCCATTTTCACCCACTAAACAGTATGGCATGATCTGAAATCGAAAAAGAATTTCTTCGAAAAAAGTCTTCAATATAGCAGCACTAAATCGATCGAGCGATTTAATATTTTACTACAGAAAATCGAAATTAGATTTTTTTCTATGTTGATAACAACCATAATGTTATAGGTGTATAATTGCTTGAATGTACCCAAATGCAAGATAATTTATAACAACCAATAAATTTTCGAAATATATGTTTATTTTACACTATATACTTTGATATAGTTGTAAATAAAAGTTTAATAAAAAATATTAAATATTAATTATTATGGTTTCCATTTTGTATTTCATAACTGAATGTGAAAAAATGCAAGTTTGAAAAAGATTGATTTATTGAGTAATCGTTTTTAGACCTTAATTTTTCTGAGAATCAATTGTTAGTATTCTTATTCGATATTATTTAAATTATTTATTTTCTTAAAGAATCACATCACTAATACAAATTACTCACATAATAATACAAAATACTCAAAGCCAAAATCAATACGTAAATCTATTAAAAAAACTTTACGTCTAGTCGTTAATAAGATTTTTTTATACCACTGAGGTGACATACACGGCCCACCTGATAATAAAACATTTGTAAGACATCCTGAAACATTCTAAAAATTTATACTTGTGTTTTAGTATGTTGCTACAACTACTGGAGAATTATTAAAGAAGATATTCTCCATACATATTTTATTCAAAATTTTAGGTCTAATGGCTTGTGGCCATTCTAAAGAATCCTGAAAAAGATATGGTAACTTTGCCGTGTTAAAACATGGATATACTAACTTTTTATTAAAAATCAGGTTGTATGGCTTAGTTTCTTTGATGTTCCCATTATGAATGAATTGATACAAAAAAATTAAATGCATTTTGCCATTTAGTGATCATTCGCAAGTATTCTAAGTACAACTTTGTAATGACCCAAGTAGTATTATATTATCTGTGCCTAAGTAATGATCAAAGATTTCGGCTGAGATAATGACGTAACACGATTGCTTCCAAATCGCTAGATCGATATGGTTCATAGATTAAGGATCATAGAGTGATTTATTTTTTTAGAAAGTATCTCGCAAATGTATATGTTGTTTGATTTAATTATTCTATTTTTCCCCGAAAAATGGTGACATTTGCAATCTAATGATCAAAATTTAAAAAATCATTATTTTTGTCTTTGAGAAACCCTCAGGGGGAAATCTATTATTAAGTTGACAACACGACCTAAAATAAGCAAAAATGAAACATAAATGGCAACACTCACAGTGCTACGTGATAAAATGGCGGTTGCCGTGTTTCATTTAACGACTTCATAAAAATAATACTTTTTGTGACAATTGTAGTGATAAGGTTTATATTATTTATTGCCAGTTGACCCGTGATAATTAATTAATTATTCAAAAAGTGTAAGTACGACTCGTATTGTGTGTAATATATAACATTTCAGGTTTCTGATAACGGCGGAAAAATGCAAATTCAGTGCATTCTCGAATTAATTGTAATCATTTGCTTACAGTAAAAAGGGCCTCTTATAGTGTTTGTAAGAGTGCAATGTCCGAGGAGACAGATCGCCACGGCGAAGCGACGTGTGACAGCAGTGCAGGCGGCGGAGGCACGAAAGAGACGCGCGTGTTATTGACCCCGCATCAGCTCGAGAGCGCCTCCGCCGACTCGCTGCGCACCGCGTGGAGATCCCAGGACTTGTACATAGACCACCTCGAATCTTTGAACAAACAGTTGGAAGGTATTTACGAAAGTTTCGGCTTGTAGCGGCCCGCGGTCGTGGTCCGATCGACCCTCGATCGAGATATGTTACTTTATATCGACAATACTTTAACTAAAATTACTAGTGATACTGTTATGGCGCAATATTAATTATGTTACTGTGATAAAAATTGTTAATTACGAAATATGTGGTACGAAGGTGTATTTAGGTGTTTTAAGATAGTATTGAGAAGAGATTGGTGTGTCGCGGTGCCAGTGGAGTGTTTTGTGGAAGTGATAATGGCGCAAGGCCCAGTGAAGTCTCCAGAGTACCCTGGAGCTGTGTCTATGTTCAGTGCTGTGCCACTAGCCTCGGTGACCAACAGAAGTGCAGAATCGGGTGGTGTTTGTTCACATGGAAAAGTAAATATTTTTCTTATTTGTTTTTTGTACTTTTTAATTGTTTTGTAAACAGTTGTTCTAATTTGGTCTTCGTAATCTTCATTATGAAACATTTATTAATAACAAAATTAATCTAAAACCATATGGAAGCATTTAAAGAGAATCATTCTTTTTATTATTAATCAAAGTTGGAAACAAAACCAGAAATCCTAGAACAAATATTTCCAGAGTTTTAATAATGTTTCTTCTTTAAATGAAACCTTTCAATAACATATTAATTATTGAAGAGTTTGAATTTAAGATTAATATGATAAAGATATGCTTTGTTTATTATATCAATCTAAACTTTTGGTTCTGTTTATTATAATATTATTTTATTTTTTCAAAAATATCATTGTGATATTTTTGAAATATTATTGTAAAGTGAATATCTAGTAGTTATAAATAATATTACTGTATTGCATATTATTATGTATATCAGCAAAATTATTATGTTGCTTCTATATAAAAGAGGGCCAAAATGAATGTATTGAATTAAAAAGTGGATTTGCTTTGATTCATATAGTAAGTATAATTATTTACCCTGAAAAGTAATTGTACTATATAAATTAAAATAAATTTCCTATTTCTAACAATTTTCTGAAATTTTAAGAATAATTGTAAAGTATTTATTTCTTTTCTTATATTGTATATCCTTTTTTTATTTGATTATATTGTATATCTTATATATGAATGCTAACATTTATGTCTCTACGTATTGGGTGTTTTGGGTATAATGATATTGTAATCTAGTATTAATTATGAATCACAGTTTAGGTTAAACTGGTTTTACCTACTCTATTAATTTTTATCATTCTGAAATCAATCGAATCATTTATAATCAATATTACTATTAATCCATCATTTGGTGGTACTATAAAAAGCTATGTTACTTGAATATATTTTAGAAAATATTTAATAAATTAATCCATATTGGATGTAAACAAAAAACTAGTTATTTTATAAACATGTGTTATGGGGAATGATGTTTGGGCACATTTGGCATCTTATTAATCATAACATATCAATATTATTCAATTTCTAAGATGTACTTTGAAAGCTTAATATGTTTTATTTGCTCAATAATAATTTCTTTGGACACAAATTGTTGATTTTGAAGCTCTGTCCACCTGTTATAAAAAAAAAATGACATTAAAAGATATTGCTCTAGGGTACATAATTTCTAATGATATATTTATGTTTCTTTTCTTCTATTCCTTATAATAATGCTTAGCATTTTTTCCATAATTATTAATATAGATATGTATTTTCTAAAACTAATTATTACTACATACCTGTTTCCATTCCATGAATCTACCTAAATATATAAAAATTCTATGTTGCAATATTGCAACATAGAATTTTTATAAATTTAGGCATTTTTATTTATTCACACTAATCTCTAAAACTGCTATTCCAAAATGAATTAAATTTAATTCATGTGTATTGTTTGTGTCAATTTAAATGATAGCATAGTTTTGATCCCAATAACAAAAAATGAACACAGTAAATAACAATATTTTCTGGATAAACTAGTATGAAAAAAAAGCAGGATCATACTATATGAAATAGACCTGTTTTCATTCTTTTATTTTAATTATCATAGCTTCATTTTTAATTTATTTTGTAATAACTGACAATATTATTGTAATCTCTTTAAATTATTAATAAATAATATTTGTTAGTTTGCATATTTATTTTCTTTAAATTTTAAAGTATAATTTTACAAAATGAATAAATAATGGAGATGTAAAGAATGAAAAAAGAGAAAATTTTTATAAGTTTTTATTAACTTAAAGTTATAGTTTATGATATTTTTTATGCTAATGAATGATATTTAGATTTAAAAATTTGGTAAATATTATAATTAAAATTATAAGTTTTTATCATGAATGAAGTCATTTAAGTTATTTCAAAATACATATCTGAAATTAACTAATTAAAATATCTATTAGGGTAAACCCTGTTTATGATTGATTCACTTAGTAAATACTATATATTTAAATGTTCACTTGTGCAAATTAATACAATATTTAGTTTATTCTATTTTTTTAATAGCTAGTTAGCTGTGCCTGCAACTTCATTCTGTACTTTTACATATTATTTATATCTACAAGTCTTAAAAGAATAAATGATACATGTATACCAAATTTTATGACAATTGAGCTATTAAGTAATTGTGTGCTAATAAGCACACTGATATTAGTAAGGACTTTTATCGCTATATATATGAGTAAGAATTCCTCCATTTTTATTTTTTTTTATTTTTTATCATTAAAAAACCAGCAGCACACCTGCAATGCGTCTGGTGTTTTGAATGGGTGGCGGTAGTCACTTATCATCAAGTGAGCTGCATGCTCGTTTGCCCCCTGTGTTATAAAAAAAAGATATTGTAAAATATTAAGAGATTAAATTTTTATGAAAACATAACCTCCCAAATTTTAAAGATATGGAACTCTGTGAATGTGAATATAAGAAAGACTCCGTTTTCCATGCTTAGCCTCTTATTTGGGCCGTTGTGCGTGTATGGAACTCTGTCTATCTATCTTATTTAAGAGCTGCACTCTTGTTGGTGGAGCTCTTGCCATTCACTTCAATTTTCAGTGAGTGTCTTCACCTCTTGATAAAACTCTTTACACTATTGAATTACTGTTTTTTTTCTTTTTATTTCTACTGCAATGTTGAAAATTTTTACAGTAAAGTTATTATTTAATTGCTTCACAGTTTGTTGGTAGATGATTGTTAACAAGGTATGGCCAAGGATTATTTATCAATTTGTTTATCTTCACCCCACATGTTTAATTTCTTTTATATCATTAATTTCAAAACTTTTTAATTTATATAAAAATACGTAAAAATAAATAATAATATTGTTACAACAGAAACTCTATCCTTTTCATTTAGCAAAATATTATTATTAGCAATTTATAGTAACTAAAAAGGAGTGTTTGACATAATGAATTGGATAAATCAATTTTGCTTGAGATACAGCAATTTGGTAATGTTATTAATTTCTTTATATATCTATTGCACTTATTGTAACAAGTCTTTCGTATCTTCAAAATTCAACTCTCACAAATGTAACTATGTATGTAAAATGTAAGTAAACTTGTCTCCAGTTTCTAATACTACATGGAGAAATTTATAGTTTGGTTAATAGATGTTGTATTTATATTTTTCTGTTTGTGATGTCATATACAGTGTTATAATGTATATTAGTTAAGGTGTTGTCGATTTAGACTGTATATGTAGTTCTTAAGATACTTTTTATGTAAATGGAATCAAATATTTTTAAGGCGACTTTGAGGCAATAATTAATATGCAAGATGCCCATAAATAATATATTTTATCCATATATAAGAGTATATGGTATTTTCCACATAATTTGTAAACAAATTTTAATTTATTTTTCAAAATTTTTTCATCCTTTTCAGTTAATTTGTTAAAAGTTAATATAGTAGTATTTAAAAATCAAAAACAATTAAAACCATTTCACTTGCACTAAAAGTTAATACAGTAACAAGTACAAATAAATATAAAAAAAAATACTTTTTATATATGAACAAATGAAATTTACTCTTTGATGTTGATGGCAAACACTATTAATAAAGCTAATCAGTGAGACGATAGATTCATTTTCATACAAATTAGTTTTGAATATATGGTACATAATCTGAGAAATCAATAAATATGTTATTAAAAATTGCAATAATTTTAAAAAGCACCTAATTACCCCACCAGGCATTACAATAGTGAGCTTACATATTTCTTTTGAACGCAGGAAATTTGGAAAAGGCGAAAGAAATAGAAGATAAGATCAAACAGCAATACGCGGAATCACAACACAGAGAAAAGGTTCTGGTCAGGCGACTGGCTGCCAAAGAACAGGAAATACAGGATTATGTTGTAAGTGTTTTTGTATTTAAATTATCATTCCTTTCGTACTATTGTTTATGTACATACAAACTATCGCGAAGAACGTTCGTTATTTACCCATCGAAGTAAACAACAACGTTGAAAGGTCGTAATTTGGAATCTAGCCCAGATATTGATATAAATAGATGCTGCAAGTACAAATACTTTGCACGTCATTTGGGTACTTGCGGTATCTATCTTTACTATCACTACTACGGTATTTATATAATTAATATAAAAAATATTAGTGGGAGACTACAGGCCGTTTGCATAGATATTTCTATCTCATTCGTATTTCTGTTACCAAACAGCTGTACTTGTATAATTATTTTTAGCTTAAAGGATGTGATATGACAGTGTAATTATAGATAACGAAAACAACGACAACTTACTCTTTAGATAGAAATAGCAACATATGGGGTATGCATCATAATGCGGCTTCATATCTCAATAAATTTCTTAATTTGTTAAAACAAAAAATAATACAACTCACTCTCGCCATTACAAAATTTTAAGCAGAAAATGAAAATATTGTTTTTTACAGAGTCAAATAACTGAATTAAAATCGTCAAACGCAAGTCTCAATGGTCGACCTACACTTCTAGACCCTGCTGTGAACGTGTTAATTTTACGATTAAAACAAGAACTGACTTCCACAAAGGCTAAATTAGAAGAAACTCAGAATGAATTATCAGCATGGAAATTCACACCAGATTCTAATACAGGGAAAAAATTAATGGCAAAGTGTAGGTTATTACATCAGGAAAATGAAGATCTTGGCCGTATGACCTCCAGTGGACGGATAGCAAAGTTAGAAGGAGATTTAGCATTACAAAAAAGTTTAAGTGAAGAGGTGAAGAAGTCACAATCAGGTTAGTCGTTTTACTTACTAAATACATTTTATTTATGTATTATTTTCATATTTCTTAATTGACATGAAGATTTTAAATCACAGTACTAAATAATTTCATAAACTCACCTTTATATCAGAAAACAACATACTTGGCTGCAGAATTAATAAATAAGGCACACAATTTTGTATGCTCCCCCCACCAAACTAAAGTGATATGTTACTACTAAAGTAGGGTGAATACACACAATACCAAAATTTCATATTGATGACTTCTATTTACTAATAATCTCTCTTTTTTTCTGTTAAAATCTAGCAAAGAAAATATGAAACATCTGATTCGAAGGTGGAAAATCACCTATTTATTACATAGTGTGTAACATACATTTTTAGACACAGGCTTTAGTACAACTTCTCTATAGTCTACCTTCATATAAATAGTAGCATAAAAATCTTATACTATACAAATACTAGAATTATCTGATAGATATACCATTTAGAATTTTTTAAATTCTGAACTTATGAATATATTATTCCCTTTGATCGGGGTTAAAAAAATTCTCCTTAACAATTTATATATTTACATTTCAGAGATGGACGAATTTATACAAGAACTGGACGAAGATGTTGAGGGTATGCAGAGCACGGTATTATTCCTCCAGCAGGAGTTACGGGCGACCCATGCGACTGTTAACGGCAACAGGCCGCCTTCTCCCGCCGACAAGCGAACATACTCGGGTAGTGAGTGTAGCGACGCGCCCGTCGGCAAACGGAGGCGAGCTTCGGTTCTCTCGCTTGACTATAACGAGGAGGAGGAACCCCTGACGGTGACCAACGGAGATGCCGATTAGCCCAGGACTTCAGTGTTCCTCTTTAGAACACGATTCTTACATATGAACTAGTGAAATACGTGAGCTATTAATGTAGCATATCGGCCATTTCGTTGACTCGAAATTGTTTTAATGAATTTTAATTGTGAGTGATCATTGTCTATGTATTGTTGAGGTGATATGCTGGTTCGGTGTCTATCACTCATTTCAAAACACGTGATTGCTTATCTATTAGCACATTTGAAGTACTTTCATTAGAAGACAAACATATAGACAAGTATACGTCATTCCCATTGACAATTAATTGGTGATGATTGTTGTGTCAAATGTGAACACGAGACTAAGGAAACATTTGGTAAAGTATAGTTTGAGTTCTATGCACAACAGTGGACCATGTGACCAGACCTAATAGTGAAATCGTTTTTGACATTGTTTTTTATACATGAATATTAAGACTCAGTTGACAATTTTGTAATTTATTTATAATAAGTGAAATAATTGTGATATATATTAGAAAATCAGATGATATATGAGCAATGACAATTGATTTGTGTTGCTCTACACCATTGTTTTACGGCATTTATTTTATTTATATGCCACAATCGGCGGTAATGGTAAAATTGAGCCCCTTTACATGCAGCAAACAATAATTCCAAAACACCAACTTTAATGTTTTAATGATTGTCACATATTTATGAAATTTACGAGTTTCTATGAAATGTTTCTATTTTGAAATTACAATGAATGTATATAGAGCTATGTTAATAAACATATATTACAAGCATACATATATTTGTATTATTTGCACTTTGAAACAACAAACCTAGGTTGTAAATAACACTAACACTTGAATTACACAGTTTATGATATATTGCACAATTTAAAAATACGAGTGAAAACGTAAAATTTTTAGTAATAAATATTTCTTACAGTTGTCGTTGCATTTGGCTAGTCCTCATTTATAATAATGTATTCTGTGCTTATATATGCGATTCATTTTAGTGCTGGTAAGTATAATATTTTTAAACAAAATTTGGTTGTAAATACTACAAAACCTTTTATGTTTTAAATAAATACATCTAATTAATTGATGAAATGAACAAAGATAATCCTTTTAAAAAAAAGTACTTGAATTCAGTAATAAAATACCGCACCCGTAGCTAGTTTTATTTTATTACTCAACCTATTTAACAAACTGAATTTCGACCTAATTTCTTATGCAACAAGATGACGACGAGTACAAATGGAAACTAAAAGCATAATAAAACTTAGCCATATCGTCATAACAACCTAGTGGCCTACCACATGGTGGTGAACTTACCCTTTTTAGGACGATTTTCAAGCTGTCTAGGCAAAATAGGGCACTCGAAATTATCAGCGCATTTTCATCCACAAAAAAAATAACCTTAGAGTGACGTAGTCAAAGTAGTCAAGCGTGGTAAAATACTGAGAATTAGTGGTCAAACAAAGATTCTTGTGACCTGGCAACAAAATGAAAAGTATCTATTTTTTTATAAACACATTTATATGGATTATCTAATTGCATACTTTTTGTGTCGAGGAAGTTTTTCATGTGGTCCACGTCTGCATTAGATAATCGAGAAGTTTCTCAAGAAGATCAGTCGCTTAAGAAGGCGCTCAGGTGTGGCGAACAACGCTGCGTGGAGCTTCAGATGTACTTCTGATCAAGAATCTAATGGAAAATCGAGGTTTGTTTCTATGTTTTATTTTTTCAACCTTTGTAATCATTTAGCTGTTTGCCACAGTTTTGCCCCATTGCTATCAATATACTCTATCAAGTTCCTCTACGCGGTTCTCCTTGGAAACTATCATGATTAATTTATCGTTGGATTCGTCACAATGGGCTAACTGACCTGCCTTTTCATCCTCACCTATCATATCACTGGTACCCCGCCAGTGTATATCGATAGCGCAGGCGGAGTTACTATGCCATTTACACCCATTAAAAAACCACACTTAGGCTTTACTGATATATTTTAAGAGGGGCTCTGCTGTCTATCTCTCGACCATTAAATTTCCTTAGTTGTTATAAATTGACTCCCTCATCTAACATTGTCGTGACTCTACATAGTTATAGATGTTCTTTATTGTTTCGTCTGAAATATTGCTGAAAAACCATAGTAAAATTACAAAAAATATGACTAGATATTAAGCATATTTTTTTTTATTAAAATTAGCTAGAATAAAATTTAGATATATTATTCCACTGGTTAATCCTGATGGATATGAGTATTCGTAAACTGTGGACCGTTTCTGGAGGAAGAATCGTCGAAAGTCCAAATCATGCACTGGCGTTGACATTAACAGGAACTTTGAGTGAGTATCTTAATTGCTAGTAGGTATATACGTAAGTAAATAATTCTAAGTAGCTATGTCAGTCTAGTTAACTATAGTTAATAAAGATTTCACCAGCAATTAACATGTTGATTTACAGGAGGTACCACGTGGAAGTCGACCTCATGAAATAGACTATTCGTTAGATTACTAAAGTTATTATAGTTTTGTTACCAAGAATTTCCTTCACTCGATGCTATAGATCAACATGCATCTGTGTTTAATTAAAGTTGAATACTTAAGCAATCTGATTAACATAGAAATCGAGAAGCTAGGACTCAAATATGCGGATACTATTCCAATAAACTATATAACATGTTTAAAAAATACAGAATATTCTTCATGAAAATTTGATAAGGAACATCTAATATTATTTTTTAATTTCCTTCTTTCAGTTTCTCCAATATTTAAATGTGATCATTTAAACATCTATTTAAAACTACACTCACTTTTTTACTTTTGCTGAGATCAATTTTACTTGTAAATCAATAAAATTAAATTCCTATTACACAGTTACTGGCACCTACCTTTCAGTAAAGATTGGACCGTTACCAGTATAACAAAACTAAATGAGTGGACAGAAACCTTTTCGGGACCTAGTGCGTTTCCTGAATCAGAATCTATTGCATTACCTACGCGTAAGTGATAAAAATCCTACAATTACAACGTATGAAATCTGATGGTTTTTTTAGGTTTTGTTCGAAACTTAAATGAAATTTCGATACAGAGGTCGCTAATTTTTATATTTCTATTTAGTAAATTTCAATTTTTAGAATCTGATATAAAATTTGAAAAGTCAACTAAAAGCGTTTGTGGATATACACTTAAATGGTCAACTAATATTATATCCATGGTGCGCTCGATTTAAAGCCACGCCGAATGCAGAATTACACAATGATATTATAATTGTATTGTCATTTGTTGACCTTATTCAAAAAACAATAGGACTATTTCCATATGTAAATTGCCGTAATACAGTAAAACGTGCACAATCTATAACACAAGAAGCATAACTAAAAACATTTGGAAATTACACCGATTGAGAACTATAATAGACAGGGAGCGAGACTCTGTACCAAAGTCGTTTGCTTGGGCACCTCTGTCCCATTCGTGTTTCTAGCGTGAAGCAGTTGTGTTTACATAGATGTGTTTTGGTTTGAAAGCTGGGATATGGCAGTGAATTTACAGGGTACAGAAAAATAACACCTGAGTCCTCAGGAATGGCAACGCATGGGGGGTATCATGAGCGAAACAATATACTCTGTTATGTCCATGGTACTGCTCATGTCTATAGGCGACGGTTACCACTTTCCATCAGGTGGGCCGTTGGCTTATTTGCTATTCTAAGTTGTATAAAAAAAAAACAAGTTACTTACTTACTTATTACTTTCATATATAAGCGATGATTATCACCTAATTCCTATAATGAGGTGGAAAGGTATTGTTATCAATGCGATCTAACAACTCTGTCACTAGCAATATACTCTTATCAGGTCGACTACCACGCAATCCCCACTTGGAAATAATCGTGGATAATTTTTGAGTTCATCATGATAGACTGACTCGCTTTCATCCTCATCAATTATTCTGCGTTGGCATCCCGCAAATATATACCAAAAGTGCAGGCGAGGTTACCATTCCATTTTTCTCAAAAAATACAATTTCACAAGTCCAATTGATCTAATGAGATCAAATGGACTTGTGAAATAAAAAGAAATCACAGTGTTAATATATATATATATATATATATATATATATATATATATATATATATATATATATATATATATATATATATATATATATATATATATAAACAAATTTGTGAAGATAGTGAAGCTTTTTCTTATTTGGAAATCTCAAGAATGAATAAAACTTGAATATTTTCTTAAATGGCGCCTATTGTATTTTCGCAGGCAATATTCAACACAACGAAGACGCGATACAAATCTGGTACCAATTGATCTATTCAGCTTTAGAGGCGGTTGTAGACTGGGTATATGCAGCCGGAATCCATCAGTCATACATCATAGAAACGAGAGGTTTTAAATAGAATAAGGTGCTGACAGAACTGGTTTTGATAGAATTATATTCAGAGAAATATATATATATATATATATATATATATATATATATATATATATATATATATATATATATATAATGTCAATACTATTTATTTTCTTATTCAGTTTATAGTTTTTACATTATATATATTTTATTTCAATTTCATTATCAATTTACGCTTGATCTAGCGTCGCCTGAGGATCTTCCTACAAAGATAAAATTAAAAAAAAATATCGTGTATATTTAGATATAAATACTTGTTAATATGTTATACTTAGTTATTCCTTAAAAGTTCAAAATTGAAGTTAACATAGTAGGTTACAATAATTTTCGTATGACCTACATCGTGATATTGAAAGAGAAAAGTGCCTTATTACATATGCTAATAGTGAAAACTAAAACAAGATCATAACACACATAAACCTAGATTGCGAACCAGTATGACTACTCTATATTTAACAGAGAAAGTTAGATACTTTTTAGAAAAGGACAAACTACGTATATGAAAATGTTATCGAGGGTTTTTAACCAAAATACATTAGAAATTCAAAACCAAATATTCAGAATTTTTAACCAAAATTATACTTCGAATATCCGTCTGCTTGGGTACTTTAATCCCTCTCGTATTAGTGCTGCCAAGTAGGCCTGCTTACATGGCCGTGTTTTAACTGACTTCGGTTTGATAGGTGGGATATGAAAAATTAGATTTAAAATTAGAACATAATAACACTTATAGTCTTTGATAATGTCAAACTATGAGGGATATTACTAACGTTAATGTACTCTGTTATATCCATGGTGTTGTTCGTTTACGGTTACCACTTCCTATCAGATTGGTTGTTTGCCATTTTAAGTTATGGTGTTGCCAAGACTCACGCAATAAAACATACCCACAGTCTCAAAATAAACAGGTATAGGCTCTACTTTTCAAATAAAACAACATTGTAAAGAAAAATAACATTTTTATTCAAGACTGACGCAACCTTTAAGGCACTGCAAGACTTCACATTGCTAGAAGCGAAATTCACTCACAAAAATATTAACTTTGACTAGAAACATCGTCGTATAATATATCATAGGAACCATTCAGAGTTCAAATATATACATACAGTCAGGTCTATAAATATATAACACGTATTAAAATATAGTATGGGATCCCCCAAGTGTCAAAAGAATGTTTAATTAATAATACCTAAATTGATAGATTATTTAAACAATAATCTGTGTAACGTATTATCTAATGTTTGATAAATCGATGATATATTATTGTACAAATATAAGATCATTTTATGGAGACATTTTGGCAACTTGTGCAGTTATATAAATTTTGATTTTTTTTTTTTTTTTTACAACACAGGGGGCAAACGAGCATGCGGCTCACCTGATGGTAAGTGACTACCGCCGCCCATGGTCACCCACAACACCTACGGCATTGCAGGTGTGCTGCCGGCCTTTTAAAAAGGAATATGCTCTTTTCTTGAAGGTTATGTTGTCGTATCGGTTCGGAAATACTGCTGCTGGAAGTTGATTCCAAAGAGTGGTTGTGCGTGGAAGAAAGTGCCTTGAAAAACGCACGGTGGAGGACCGCCACTCGTCCAGATGGTTGGGATGAAATTTTAGTTTATGGCGGGTTGTACGATGGTGAAAATCTGCAGCAGGTATCAATCCGAACAATTCTTCAGAGCACTCCCCATGATAAATTCGGTAGAAGATGCACAGAGATGCAACATCTCTACGCAGTTTCAGTGGGTCGAGCCGGACAGTAAGACACCGATCGTCAACAATTCGAGCTGCCCGACTTTGAATGCGGTCTAACGGAAGGAGTTGGTACTGTGGCGCTCCTGCCCACAGGTGAGAACAGTATTCCATGTGTGGCCTCACTTGAGCTGATTGTAACTAATATAGGTATATATGACACTGACTGCTCCTACATTTCTCGTATTTTGTGCGTAACAGTTCTAAATACTCTATAACTAGGCACCCGTAAGAACACAATGACAAGTTCATGTCACATTACAAACTACTGGTCCCATTTTTAAATTATTCTTTACTTATAATCAACTACGAGTATAAAGGCACACAAAGACACACACAACTATCGTGACTACGTGTACCCACAAAATTGACAAATTCCTGCTTCTAAGCCGTGAAGGCAACGACAGCAGATAATATTCCAGAGATACAAACATGCCCCGGCATGACGCACAAAGGTGGTGCTGAAGCTCGTACCCGATGTGCAATATCAACTTTAATGTGATTATGAGAAAATAAGACATTAAATCTGCCTTTTAGAAAAAGAAAAATAAAATAAAAATAGAGAAAATTGCTGCTAATTTGAAACTTGGCATAGTTAACTTTGTTAAAAAGTCCACCTCGCAAAATAGTTTATTAGATATTTTTTAGATATTATGCACAGCCTCAACATATACCAGTAGTCACTTAAAGGAGCCGGTTTAAAATTCGACATACCATTATTCTCTCTTTCCTCCCAAGAGTCTTCCCTCACTCTTTTCCCTTTCTCTTGTAGTACGAAACATACAACATAAAATAATACAATGTAGATGAAACATAAAACAACCTAACTGTAATCTGTTGAAATAGAATTCTATTAATTAATAATTAATATTAAATTTAATAAAAATTTAAGCAATTGAATAGTTGATCCGAACGAAACATAAGTCCCATAGTAGCAGAAATCGAAAATCGATTAATTGCTTGTATGTTCAAATTTATAAATTTCACTTCAATATAATTGAAGACTGTCTCACAAAAAAAAAAACATCAATTGTGACAAAACTAATTATTTTCATGTAAAAACTAAAGTAATGAACCGATTTTGATAAAATTTCTACTGGACTAATCTTTAAGTATATCCTATATTATATATATATATATATATATATATATATAAGTATTTTTCCAAGTCAATTTAGAACTTACAGAGTTATGAGGTAACAAATATAGAAACAGTATAATCTAATTGAGAACGTCCTTTTTGAAGTCGGTTGAAAACTTAGTCGCCTTTTTATAAATTTCTATTGAAACAGCCCATAGTAAAAACGATATAACACAGCGGACCGTTGGTATTCGGTTATGTGTAAATGACCTGGCGTTAAACGGGTAGACAATTAGAAGTGTCTTACAACAATGTACCTTACTACTAATTAATATCCACGCAATGATAAATAAACATATCTCCACACTTATACGTAATTAATGTAGGGAAAGTCTTAGTATGAAGAAAAGTACTAAAATTCAACAGTAAACAGAAGACATGGGTAATATCGGTTCCGCTCTGATATCTATATATTGGGTTCCTCGGGACATTAACGACGGAAAGAAAGGTCAACAATATCGCCCATACCAATCGGATATGTGCATTCATTTCAATATTATATATCGGAAAAACCTATATTTAACATATTAATTACTGAGTCAATATATATTATAGATACTGCAACCAAAATATACAGATATTATTATATATTACCCACCTCTAGTAAATAGCGCATCAAATAAAAATAAGAAATAACACCAGTACGAACACGAGACCAATAAGGAAAATGTTAGAAGGAATGTATTCGCTTACTTTATTTTTTATGACGGGTTTACTTAGAATAGGTATTTATTACTTTTTAATAACTGACCGGAGATAATTTAAAGATTCTTAAACAAGGAATTTGGTATTAGGTGCCATTTTTTCATATTTAAGTAACACTATCATTTGCCCGCGACTTCGTCCGCATGACCGGGATAATTCAATGAGCGAGATAAAAATTAGCCTATATGCTTTTACATCTCCTATAGTACTTGTATACAAAATTTCATAACGAGTTATTAAGCCGTTCAGGCGCTACGAGATAACAAACAAACAAACCCACTTTCACATGAATAATTTTAGTAAGTATGAAATAACGATTCGACAGTTGTGAAAAAATATTAACGAATATCCTTCTTAGTATTCCTACTACCTAGATTATCACCTCCTCCTCCGTGCACTTCCACATCCTTGATACCAGCCTGGTGCCTCAGGAGTTTGTCGTCAGCAGCCCTCACTCGCTCTTGGAGTATCTCCACTGTCCTATTCAGCAGTTTGATCTCTTCTTGTAACGGATAAAGTTGCATATTCATTTGCATCAGTTCCTTCTCATGTGCCAACTGTAGGGTGTGTAGCTGAAATATTAATGTAAATTAACCTTTTTGAATTAACAAATTATTCATTCATTCAAATTTCATCAACTCAACAACAATTCTCACAAACTCAACAATTCAAAATCTATCTATACTTATAATAAATCTGTAGAGAGGTCAATTCTGTACATGAAATATATTTCCAAAATAACTATCAGGAGGTGATTAGTGATCGATACTGATGCCAAAAATGCAATCAGTAAAATTTTTGTCTGTCTGTCTGTCTGTCTGTCTGTCTGTACGTTCGTTATAGAAACAAATAATCGATGGATTTTAACTAAACTTAGTACAATTATTCTTCATACTCCTGGGCAGGTTATAGTATACTTTCCATCACACTGCGATCAATAGGAGCAGAGCAGTAAAGGGAAATGTTGGGAAAACGGGAGAAGTTACTCCATTTTTAAGCTTCCGTCGCGTGTGCAGCCTTAATGGCCACTTTTTTTAATTGTAAAAATGTCCACCCGTGCGACGCCGGGACAGGCCACTACTATATATATATATATATATATATATATATATATATATATATATATATATATATGCAGTTTTATTATATGTATATAGATTGTGTCTCACAAAAAACAACTTCAATTAGGACAAAATCAGTCATTTTGATTTAAAAAGCAAACTACTGAACCGATTTTGATAACATTTATATATAGTGTACTTTCAGATAAAAAAAGAATTTTCGGTTTAGAACTGACGGAGTTATGAGGTAATAAATATATATATAAAAAAAAAAACGAATTAAGAACATACTATTTTTAAGTGGACTGAAAAATATAATTAAATCACTTACATCTTGTATGCGTTTCTTTTTCAGCAATATAAAATCTTCGTTTGTCCGTTTCAAAGAGTCGAGTAAGCTGCTTCGTTCTTGTGTAAGGACTTCCTTTTGTTTTCGTACTTCCGTAAGTTCGGCTTCCATTTCTGTATTCACTCTCAATAATATGTTGTCAGATGACTTTGTCTGTTTACATCCGGGCTTCTTTTGTGGATTCAAATTCAATAATACTAAAACAAACCAATATTGTAATATTATGAATATACAATATTTCAAATAAGCGCAAGTTCTCTATAGTACGTTTTCCTTTACTCATGACTTAAGTAAAGAAAAACGTATCTTTTTTTCTAAATGGTTAATAAAATTAGCAAATGATGAAAAAGGATTTCTATGTAAAATATATATATTTTTAAACTACTAAATTTATTACAAAGACATGTCAGGATTGTATCATATCACATCGACACCTAAATAAGATGTAAATAGACTTTGTACCTTCTTTCTCCTTTTGTAAATTCCTTAAATTCTTTCGAAGTTCTTCAGTTTCTCTGTTAATTTTTGCAATAGTACGTTGTTTTACTGTTAATTCGGCTTGTAAGCCTTTTATTGTGGCCACTAAGTAACTGTCTTCTTTCAATTTATTTAAAATAAGTGTAGAGCTCTGCGACAACCTACTTACAGCAGAAGATGCTCTATCTGGTTTTATAAATGTTTGACACGCTACACTTTGATATGGTCTAGACACAGTTTGAACAGCAGAATCGGCCATGTTTGTTTTGTTGATTTTGTTTTTTAATTCATTATTAATTTTACGATCCTCCATGAGTTGCCTCTCGACGTCAATAATGTGGTTCTCATATTTTTGTTTCATGTCCCCAAACTTTTCTTGCAAAGTAAGTAGTATACCCTGAAAATGACCTTCCTTGTCTTTCAATTCTTGTTCTAAACGAATGATACGATCCTCAAGTAACTTTTTTTTATTATCTTCAACTGTTGATGACTTAGATGCAACTAAAACAAGAAATATTATGTAAATAAAATATATATATATAAAAAAAATCTGCTCAAGACTCCTAATAATCCATAATGGAGTAGTCAGGGACATTAGTTCACAGTTCCCATTGTGGTAGAGATAACAATCGACAAGCTCATATTTCTACAAGCATATTAGGATTTGTTTTATGAAAATATATCAAAATGGAATCATAAAGAAGTTTCAGAATATATATATATATATATATATATATATATATATATATATACACACACCACGCTCCATATTTTATAATAAAAAATAAATCAATTGAAAATTAAATATAATCATACAATACGAACCTATTAAAGCTGACACTGAATCGGGATGCTTCCTTTTTAATATCATCTCCATTTCTTTCACTTGTCTTTGCAGATCTTGAATAACAATAACATCTTTATCATGCTGAATCGTCAAGTTTTTCCTTTCGTTTCTTTCCTTATTCAACTCAGCCATGATTCTACCTTCGTGTTCTTTTATTTCCTTTAACTCAGAATTTCTGTTCTCATACTCTTTACCCAATCTGCTCACGAACTTCTCACATTCAGACAATTTCAAATCAGTCACATGTTTTTGCTCATTAATATGGTCCAGTTTTTTTCGCAAATACTTGTTATCTTCTGTCAATTGAACATTTAGAAGCTCAATAGCTTTCACCCTTTCGTTTGTGTCCTTCAATTCCTCTAATAAATTTTCATGCTTACAACTACTGTTTTTTTTCGGCGAATTTGAATTTGTTGAGAACCGTGCCACTTTCGAAGTCTCTCTTTTCTTAGAATCGATAACACCAGCAGAGAAAGGCCTCAACTTCGGTTTGCGGCGTATATCGTTATTTTCTTTACTGTTTTGCTTGGCAGGACTGGCCTGCAAACATATTACTTATTTACTCATACATATTTTCGATTTCATAATCACTACGAAGGGGCCCAAATGAGATGCTAAACTATTTAAAAGTCATTGTGATAAATAAACCATTAAATAAGTGTTTACGGTAAATAGAGTTTGTCATCAACGTAAAATAACTGCAAGTCTGGAGGCAATGACCGAACATGGCGCTTAGGTGGGCAGGTAGGTATCTACCCGAACAGGAAGGTTGTCATTCTGGTTCCAAAGCTAATAATATATTGTACCTACCTATAAAATACACGTAAAGCCTTCTAATCTAAATTTATCCACTCAGGTAAAAAATACCAAGCAGTTTCAATACTGCATAATAAAATACGTTCCATATACCTACTTACATTTGGTAGGCAATGAGAATCGTAAGTATGAAAGCCTAAATTTATGTAAGTCAATTAATTCACAACTAGAAAAAAGTCGGATTAGATTTAGGTATATATATAGATAACAAGATTTTAATAATTTTAATAATGACTTCATACAATTTCCTTTAACTATAGTTTGTTTCAATTGACTTAATTGAATGCTAACAAAGTTTTGTTGAAATTATCACAGAAATTATCTCGAAATGAATGTAATACTAAATCGAAATATTCATTCAATAGATTTTTATTTGCATTACCATATTGGACATCAGCAAACTGTCTTATAGTCAGGACAATTATATGTTTGAAACGTTCTATTGAATTCAGCTGGTCTATATAATATTATATCAAAAAACATACCTAATTTATAAAAACAAGGATTCATCTATATCTTTTTTAGAATGCAGCACATCACACGTAACAAAATTTAATTTTCTAGCCCAAGCTATAGCTTCTGTATTCATATATCTATTATATACCGATTAATTAACTTTTTATAGAAATCTATTTACATTTCTATATTACCCGTATCAGTGTTCACGGACAATGTTCTAACAATGTGCAGTATTAATGATGGCAGCAACAAGAGGTAGTTTAGGAGTTTAAAAAGGCTCCATCGATGCGCAGGAGCATCAGTGGGCATTTGCACTTGTCGACTCGCCCGTTAGAAGGCTCAGTAGCCATGGGATCGTGGTCGGCGGCGTTCGTTTTGTTGGTGGTTGGAGTCACAGTGGTGTACAGTACACCACTCGTCAATGAAAAGCAACCCGGGCAAGGTAATTATTGTATTTTCATATTAAATTTATAATATTGTCTTTATTTTAAAAACAATTTTGTTTATAATACTAAAACGTCTTAGATATATTGCCAAAACTTTAATGAATAATTTTAAGTCTTTATTCTCATAAGGAAATACAATCTTCATAACATTTTTGTTTATTCAAATTGAGGATAATGAAAATTTGTCGTTGAATAAGATCAAGAAAGAATGAGAATCACTTCACAGAATCCAAAACAAACAGAAAAGTAATTTTGAATATTTTTTTTCTTCACTTGTCATTGATAGTTTTTTTCTTCTTAAATTCTATTATATTAATTGTGAATATTGATAATAATATGCGCAACACACTACTAATTCAGTCCATAGTACAACACAAAAAAATCATAATATGTTTTTATTAAGTAATTATTATAAAAAAGCGCGTTTTCGCGGAGACTGTATCCACCAGTGGACTGCAGTAACTCATTTAGTAAAATAAATATTTCATCATTTAACTATGCTAAAATATTTATTTACTAAATGAGTTTATAATTCGAGACTCAATAATAGTATTGCAGAAATAAGTTTTTTTTTTTTTATTACACCACTTAAAGTACGAAAAGCACTTTTATCGCTAACCTCATCCAGACGACCTTTGGATAGAGGAGAAATGAAAAAACACGTTGTAGCTATTTAGCGCAAAAAAAATATGTTTCTCCTAATGCATATTCATACTTACTACTGATTTTGAATATTTAAATATTAAGATATGATAAATACCCATATATCAATACATACCGGTACTTAAAAAAGAGAAACAAATTAAAGTAAATAAAATAGGACACAAACAAAAACCATTGTACAATAAATAAATAATAGCAAATATAAAATGAAAAGAACAACAATAAGTTCACGCATGTTGGAAATAATAGTTCATCACTAACAAAGCGTGCTAATAAAAAAAAGCGGAACTAAAACTTTAAATATGAATACTAAATACATCATGATTCTGAACATAGCGTCACCTTCATAGGACGTGATCTAAATAAAACATATTAGAGGAAACCCTTCCTTTAAGTTGAATCAAGTTTTAGTAAAACCGTTACAAGCAAGATCAGGCCAGCGGCGAATGGAAATCAAGACAGCCAGAGAAAGTCATTAGACATGTCACATGGGGCACGAGTCATGCATTTTAATCATTGTTTCTATCAAAGTATATCGTACGTACACCTAAAATACCGAATTCATTAGTACGGCACTTGAATAGCCCGTTAGGAATAAGTGCCAGACTAACTAGGACACAAGGATACTGCAAAAGAAATTTGACAATTTGACTCACATTTGAGTATTATTTAAAATATATTCGCGGACATTTTAGGACATTAAATAAATCTCTCTTATTTATAAAAACATCACACCTCTTATAAACCTATTTTAGTTATTGAACTGTCTCTTTCTTTTACACTAAATTCTCAATTTGAAAGAAAGTGACAAAATAGTGTAATAGTTAAAATAGATAAAAAAAATAGATTTTAGTTTTTATGAATAATTTAATGTATATAAATTAATTGTTCTCTTATTCTATTATTTTTCCTATTATTTCATTCTCTTTTTTCTCAATGTCCTCTTCCCAAAGGTTATTTAGAAGAGATTGCTTAGCGATAAGACCGCCTTTTATATCAATTCTCTTTAAAATTAATTGTATTTATAATTTTTATAAATGATACAATTAAATATAAATAAATAAATATTTTCTTTAATTGCATGAATTTTGTTCATTAAATCCATAAATTACATTTATACAAGTCTTTCACAATTGTAGTAATATATGTTAACCTAACCAAAATAAAATTATACACTGCGTAGATAAAATCATCTCATTACAACCTAATTAATGTTAACTACAAAAGGGGCATGATTTACAACAATTTTAATACCAACGCGTAATTGTGAATAATGCTGATTTTCAACATGATAGTAACACATAACAGATCACGTTTTACACTCGTACTTAATAACAGAATTAAAAATCGATAGATTATAGCCAAGATAGATTTTGACATACATATTTTTTTTATACACCACAAAGATGGCAAACAAGCATACAGCCCGTCTGATGGTAAACGGTCACTTTTGCCTACGGATGCTTAAAACACTAAGGAAGTCACATGCGCATTGCCGACTCTAAAGAAAGTTTAATATACCCTTTTTAAAGAATACTGCAGTCTCTAGGAGACACCTCGGCGGGAAGGTTATTTCACAGCCTAAACATTCACAGGGGAAAAGTCCTTTGAAACCACACCAAAACTAATATCTACGTTTGGCAAAATAAATAAAATGAATATAAACTATATGATGTTAATATAATAAAAATACTTTCAGTCGATATTGGGAGTCTCATACATAATATTAGCATATTAATTTATTATTCCAAATAAAGAAAGCGTATATTAAGTAGCATAGATTACAAGCTATACTTGCAACTGAGCAGCAGAGACATGAGCAGTACCATGGACATAATAGAGTATACTGTTTCGCCCATGATACTCCCCATGCGTTGTCATTCCAGAGGACTCAGATGTTATTCCTCTGTACCCTGTAAATTTACGCCATATCCCACCCTTCAAACCGAAACACAGCTATGCAAACACAACTGCTTCACAATAGAAAATAAATAGGACAGAGGTACCCAATAATCGACTTTTGTACAAAGTCTCCCTCTGGTATTACAAGGACTTATATTTATAATAAGGACTTATAATACATGTATTATTATAATACATATAATACAAAATTTCCAGAATGGCCAAATCGCGGTGCAGTTCCACAGCCATCTGATTATAAATTAGTGGAAACGGCTACAGAAACTGTTTCGGGAGAAAAAAGTGAGCAAGAAGTAACTACAGATGAGCTTCCTTTAGAGATAATTGAAGAAGAGCCAGTTGAAGAAAAAATAAAAACAGATGTAACTAACACAAATACACAAGAAAACGAGGATTCTGATAATAATACCCTAAATAATAAAGTTGATACAATTAAAACCAAAACAACATTAACTAAAGCGGAAACCGCCTCACAAAAAGTAGATTATTCCGGTGCTCAACTCTGGAAAGTCTCAATAGAAAAAGAAGGAAGTCGTGGTATTCTTGGCAGACTACGTCGAAGAAATCGTAAGTATGAAAAAGTATGTAGTAAATAATATAGATATTTACAAGAATATTATTTGTAATTTTCATTTCTAGAAATTGCAACTTGGGGAACTAATGGAACAGCAATTGATGTATTCATAAAACCAGATGCTATACAAAACGTTACTCGTGTATTGAGTAGGGAAAATATTGCATTTGAAGTTGTTATTGAGGATTTACAGAAGAGGATTGATGAAGAAAATCCACCTCTAGATGAGAATGAAGTAGAACTTCAGGACAGACGAGGTAAGTACTTCTAGACAAAAAAAAATTACTTAGAAGTATTTAACATTACATTACTTTATGTAATATTCTTAAATTAGAATATTCTTCTTATAAGATAAAAAAAAAACACTATGATACACTCATAATTTTAAAACAATAAAGAGGATGAGAATACCTACTATAAAATTAGTATTACTAATCATAATAAGTATTACATTGATTACAATTACTAAGAATACTGCGAGTCGTTTAGTGGAAGTCATTTACGTATGCTTTCCTGGAATTTTTAACAATATTCCAAGGGTGTCATTTTGTTACAGCAAGAGCTTACAATTTTTGGCGTTACAGGGGTTCACATCGTCTAAGTTTGCTAGGGGCTTACATGGGCTACAGTTCTCTCAACATACCCATGGAATATTGGCCAAATGCGAATTGGGGTTCGTTATCAAACTAAGGTTCCGGATTCCATTGCACGTTCACATGTGTTCTAATTATTTCTTCTAATTTTTTGGTAATTTGGCGCGAATGTACATGTTTTAACAAAAATGTGTGCATGCATTCAATGTATTTACATTTTATAGATTACGTAACTAACCAGATATTGTTCCGTACTGATTGTATTTTGGAAAATGTGTATTTTGGAAAATCAATGTATAAATTTCACAAATTTTTAGGAGCACAAACGTCGTGTGGTTTGGCATATATTCTTTGCAACTTCTTCTGGTACTCGAATTACAATTTTTTTTTTTTTGTTTTTCCGTTAGACTAATAATTAAAAAAAAAATTTACAGTAAATTTTTAAATTTATAATAAATTGCAATTTTTTTTATACGTTAAACTATATATCCAATGTAAATGTTACTTTGTTTGATACATTATATTCAATATAAAATCAATTGTTTATTCTACAAATTTAAATCCCTAAATAAATATTCTTAGGAGTAATATTTAATAGTATAGTTTTGAAAAACATCTTTGCTTTCCAGGACACCGTATGAATTGGAAACAATATCACAGATTAGAAGATATCGACGGATTTTTAGAATATTTATCCAAAACATACCCTGCTATCATCAGTGTTAATAGTATCGGAAAATCACATGAAGGACGAGAATTGAAGGTAAATAACTGGAATTTAATCATTAACCAATATGTAATTTATTAATAATTAAACGATTCCAAAAACAAACGGACTTCATATCGAATGTGTAGTATTATAATTATAAAGTGTTAAGAGTGCGCCTTTTTTCGCTTTGTTTATTATGAACTTTTTTAAGCAACATGAAATAGCCCATTTGATAAAATAGCAACTGTCCCCTTCAAATATGAAGAGTAATTAGACATCACAGATTAGACTGTTACGTTTGTAGTATTACTCATACGTTGTCAATCCAGAGGATTAAATGTTAAGTACACCTTTAAATCACAAATCTATACACAGTCATATAGGCACTACTATTTGATGGCAGAAACCTATGCGGGACAAAGGTACTGATCCAGGTGACCAGCGATTATTGTAGATCTCTTAATAGCACATATATGCAAGCATATGGATTTTTTTCTACCTATCAATATAGATACTTAGATGCAAAAAAATATTCCATTAGAATATTTCCCTTAATTACTTATTATATCATGTATACAAGATCCCTTTCACTTTTAATTTTAGGTATTATTTTTTTAGGTATTAAGAATTTCGAACGGTAATCCTTCGAATAAAGCCATTTTCATAGATGGAGGTATCCACGCGCGCGAATGGATCAGTCCTGCAACTGTAACTTACATCATCAATCAGTTTGCTGAAAACTTCGATGAAGAATCTGAGGACATCAAAAACTTAGATTGGTAATTATTCCCATTAACTCTAAAACTTGTGGGTGTCTTTCGCAAATTGTATAAAAATACTATTAATAAATAAGAATTTAGCATGTTCGCACTGCGAGCACCGTGTTAGAATAAACATAGAATGTTATCTATTTTATTTCAGAACTACATAATACGAAAGTAAAGCCTATCTATTGCATATAGAATTGTCAAAATCATAAAAAATATAAATAAACTGAGACCCTCCACCTTTCAGAAATCATTTAAAAAGTAGATGCGAGGATGACTAATTAACATTATTATTGCTTAAAAATCCTTCTTCATTATTTGAATGTACAGCTATACTATTGGTGATGATTAGGTATACTACTTCCCTCATAATCCTTGTAATAAACAAACACTGATAAATAAAAACATACATGATAATAAAATAATAAAGACCTTCATCATTACGCCCGGATCATCATAATCTAATTATAGACAAAAATAGGTATTAAAAGTAACCGTCACGTGTATACAAGATCTTTGCTCCATCGGTGGAACTCTGTCTGCAATACAATAATCGAGGGAACGAATTTTATTGTAAACGCTACTGTGTCTACTTAAAATTTATAGTAATTTGTGCTACGAAAAGCACGAAAATATCTTCCTTAATTTTATGATGTGAGAAAGGTTCACAAAGGCGAACTAGAACAACATTATTATTTTCAGGTACTTTTTGCCTGTGATGAATCCAGATGGATACGAGTATACTCACATGAGTGATCGCTTGTGGAGGAAAAACAGGCGGCCTGGTGTCGCTGGAAGAGGATGTTCAGGCGTTGACTTAAATAGGAACTTTGGGTGAGGATTACTTTAATTTTTCAAGATCTATTTCAATATCCTTTAATTATGAAGGTATAAACCTCCATTTGTCAGGTCTATCTTTAAATTATTTACTGTATACTGTCATCAGCGAACTTATCAGAATGAGAGCGAGCGCAGGTGGCACTCTAATCTTGCAAAAGTTGCCGTTAAGTGAGTAAAGATCGACACGACTAATAGTAGCTTAGGTTACATCTTATCAGACTTTCTTTACTCACTTATCCATACACCTAGATGTAACCCATATCTTACTCGTACTTCGATGACCATTGAGGGACTAACAATAGCAGAGAGAAAAGTGCGAAATGTCCAACACTACTCTCTCTACGACACCCGGTGTAACAGGCATGAGAATCTCCACTACAATCCCTGAGTAATGTCTTCTCTAGCGTGGATACGATATCTTAATTCTGATGGAATTCGTCAAATACGAGTTAAAGTTGAGCCGTTTTGTTTGAAAGTGAGAAGTTGTGATCGTGATGCAGATCAGCAAACAATGACGCAGCTGTAAATTTATAAATCTGATACTATAGCATCTACAGTCCGAATATTTACATTACAGATACCGTTGGGGTGGTAAAGGTACATCTAGCAGTTCTTGCAGTGAAATTTACCGTGGTCCTAGAGCATTTTCGGAGCCAGAATCGCGTGCTGTTTATGTAAGTTCATGTGGCAAGGTTGTAAAATTTATTTAAAGTTAAATAATATTTCTACCCTGATGTGCTATACATTTACTTATAATAAGGATTTTTATCTAAAATATCTTTATACCGTTGTTAACACCTTTTTATAAAACGTCGAGTGTTACATTCACCACAATAACAGTAGTTGATAAAACCCTCTAAATATTTCTTTAGAAATCATAGTTATGAAAGCATTTATTTATTTTATTTATATACTAGTTTATATCAACTACAATATATGCTTCATTGCAATAGGTATATCTTGAAAAAGATGTAAAGCACCCTATGTCCTTCTCTGTCTTAAATAGAAAATTTTACCAAACTGGACTGTATAGCAAACAACATGGCCGTTGTTTGATAATATTAGCAAGGATCTTTTGCAAAAAAAAATATATCCTCATTTCTCTTGTTGTATTCACATTTTTTGTCTTTTTTAGGAATTCTTCCAAAAGAGTGCTGCCAATTATGTGGCTTATATAACATACCACAGCTATGGACAATATATTTTGTACCCATGGGGATATGAAAATGCTGTGCCACCAGATTATGAGGACTTACAATCTCTTGGTGACAAAATGGCTGCGGTAAGATAAATCTACAAGTTATTTATATACAATATATAGTACCTACTTATACCCTGTAATTACATAGTATTAGACACCAACATAGACCATAAATTTATTTCGCATTCATTCGTTCTTATATACTATAAATAAAATCAGTCTAGCCTAGAAATTTAATAAATGTGTATGTAACACATATAGCTGAAAAATCATTTTTGTTTACAACAATTCCTTTTAACAAAATGTTACATTGTCTATGTGATATTTTAGACTTTTGTAGCCCTATCATGTATAAGATATTAAAATGTGTAAAATAATTAAAATTGTGTTCCACAAAAACACAACTTCAATTTTGGCAATACCACTTATTTCTATAAGACCAATCTGTAAGTATATTATTTCAAATATAAAATAATTTTTCAAATTGAATTACAACTAACAGAGATATGAGATAATAAATATTAAAAAAAAAATACAATTGAAATGAGAAACTAATTTTTTTAAGTTACTTCAAAATTAATGAATGGTATCAGCAAATTTACTAAAAATTCCTTCTTATAATAAGCTTAATAAATTTGTCAAAACAATTGAATAGATCAGCAATTATGAACTTGTATAAGAACTTGGTAAGAGCTCCACCAACAAGAACGCAGCTCTTAAATTGATAGATAGATAGATAGATAGATAGATAAGAACTATTCAGAATTACAATTAATTTTTATTATCTTTCAGGTTATCCAATCAACAGGTGGTGATTACTATAGTGTAGGTTCTTCAAGTAAACTTTTATATCCAGCAGCGGGAGGATCTGACGATTGGGCAAAGAGCCAGGGCATCAAATACTCTTACACCATTGAACTTAATGACAAGGGCAGATATGGATTTGTACTTCCCACAACCTACATAGAAAATGTTGCTAAGGAATCCCTAGCTGCTTTAAGAGTACTAGCTGCACAAGTGAATAAGGAGTGATCTCAATAAACAACCTTATATTATTTATAATATTTAAACTTACATTAAGTTATCATATAAGTAGTATTTAAATATGAATGTCTTGAATATAATTTTAATTATACTATTGAAATGAAAATAAAAAATAAATATTTAACTTTTTTTTAATACCTTAGAATACCAAATAAGGAAACAGTTCACAAGATGAAAAGTAGTGATAGTTACCTTTAGAAACTAATAGCACCATGAACGTCATAGAATGCACTATATTTATTTTTCATTTAACCATAATTTATATTTCAAAGTAGTTTTGGTAGCCTTAATAGGTGAAAGAAAAATAATTACCTTATTGACACTAGAAATTGCACTTGCTACAGCCTTAGATTCGTTATCATTAGGTTTCGTGACCTTAATTTGAGGTATAGCTCCACTATCATTGGTGATGCCATTAACAGCAGCGATAGGGCTACTTTTCAATAAATTTTCAGTCTCATGAGCAATATCTTCAGCCCTCTTTAGAATAAGCTCCACATCCTCGACGTCTTCGCCAATTATTTTATCACTATCTGCATTACCAGACAACTTATTGATTTCATTAAATATCATCTTAATTTCTTCATCACTATCTCTAGGTACCTCACAGGCTTTTTCAATGTGTAGAAATTCTTTCGTTGATATACTATTATCAGTAGAATTTTGTTCTGCGTTGACCATAGTTACTGAGCACTGCGCCATTAAATATGAGATCAGGTATCAATTTTAATATTTGCTTTATTAAATAATAGATCCAATAAATTTAATCCACTATTATGATCTACATAATTTTTTTATAATTTCATTTCATGTATCAATCAAACAAACAAGCTGTTGCTAAGCAACCATTGTTCAGCACAGATTAGAAACGCGGAGATAATAATTGTGATAATTCGGGTGGAACATAGATTAGGGATAGTACTTGGAAAATTCATTGAATATTTCACAAAAAATAAATAGAAAGTTATTATCAAACGGTACAGTTTATTTTTGATATTGACAAGTTTGCTTAGGTAGATAAAATGTTGATATTGGACTGCAGGTGCAATCGATATGGTAACAATAAACAAAAATATATTTGCGATCAAAAAGCAACTTAAGTATAGAGAAACCTGCGATCTTTTTTCTACGGTTCATAGATCGAACCAAAAAAGAAAAGTTTTTGTCGAAAACATAAAAAAGTAGGTCAGTAACTAATATTTTCTTTCTAAATTTTTTTAAATCTAGATACACGCTATTAACATAGATTAATAATAATAAACTTAGAAGGTACTGCAGTAGACTAAGCACAGTTCTTTTAAATACCAGCGATCATTGACAGTCAATGACACATATATGGAAATGACATACCATCTAATCTATGCATTACATTTGTTTGACAAATCGACATCCACTGACATTTCCTTGTGTATTTTGTTTATTAGAGGTATTTAATTGAGCCTTAAGTATTTATTTCTATTATATATTCCAAATTAAAATGTCCGTACCACCTCAAGCATTTGTAAATAAAAATAAGAAGCATTTTCTAGGAATACCTGCGCCTTTAGGTTATGTAGCTGGCGTTGGTAGAGGGTAAGTTTTCATCCAAAATTTTATTATATTCTATTGAAATTTATTTTATCTGAGATTCATATTATCACTCAATTTAAAACTTGTTTGATCTGTGATATTTATTTTTTGTATTTTGAAATATTCAGATGAAATTATAATTTAACTAAAGTTCTTTCCTGCACACGGGTTAAACAGACTAAATATGTTATAAGAAACATGCTCTCAAGTATTACTTAAAAACATGTTATTAAATAATGTTAATAAATTATACTTAATTTTTAATTTATTACAGTGCTACAGGTTTCACAACAAGATCTGATATTGGACCAGCTCGTGATGCTAATGATGTTTCGTAAGTAAAGTTTTTGATCGCATAATCTAGAAACCAATAAGGAAGATCTGCTCCACATTTTCATGAGTAAAATGTCCCAAATAAGAAGCTTAGTATGGAAAAGATAGTCCAATTTACATTACAATGAAGGTCCATCATATGCACTATCTATACTTACTACAACTGTGGTTACAATTATTCTGACAAGAGTAAATAAATATGATTAAATTTTTCCCAATAAAAATAAGTAATATACATTCCGGATTGCCTAAATGAACATCTTATTTGATACCAAGCTTAAATTTTCAAATAGGGCTCATTTTAAAATTTCATGCCTTATTATTAATAGACACTTGTAATATATCTTTAGTTTTTTTACAAACTACACTAATATATATATAATGAATAAACTCAAAAACTACTCAAATTATTTTAAAAATTTTTTCACCTACTGATGATAATGTAGAAAACTACATTATCAGTGAAGTAACATATGCTATATATTAATTAAAAAAAATTTTAGATCTCTATGAAAATTACAATAATGTAGCACAATGTATTAAAAATATTAATATGAAATATTAATTTATCTTTTTATATATATATATATATATATATATATATATATATTTCTAAAATGAAATGAACAGACACACATCTACTGGTCCTGTCCACGACAACAGTTCCTTTAACTTTCTTTTCTTGACAATATATGTTTGAATGAAAACTCTTTACTATTCTCTTCAAAAAATGGTAAAGATTATAATTTGCAGTTTTTATTGTCTTATATCCTTTGCTATTTTTCTTAGAGTTGGATTTTCTGTCATAATAAACTAATAATTATTTTTTTCTAAGACTCATAAGTATTATAAAGGTAAATAATTTATTTATTCTCATATCCATACAATAGTTTAAATTTATAATAATTACTTTGTGATTACTACTAGAAATTTTAATATCTATGTTAGTTATTTGTTAGGTAGTATTTTGGATATGAGCCCCATATTTTCTGTATTCATCTAATTTTTATCAGCTATTTTTTTAATATTCATTATAAAAGTATATACCTCTAATTAGACTCAAACTGGTATTCTTCAATTATTCAGGCTGAATATGTTCCCAATTATCCTACAAAAGGGTGGATAATATTTCATTATCTTTTTTAAACTCATTAATTATAAGTATCAACTTGTGTATTACAGTGATGACCGTCATGCACCACCTGCAGCAAAACGTAAAAAAACAGAAGAGGAGGATGATGATGAAGACTTGAATGACTCTAATTATGATGAATTCTCAGGATATAGTGGATCATTGTTTTCTAAGGTATTTAAATTTATCTCATACATTTCTAAAGAAATCTGGGACCATCTATGGGAGAAGAAGTGAATAAAAATTAATAATGTCATATTTTTATTTTTATATTATTTGAATTGTCAAGTGTCACATATTATTAATTTCTTCTAAAACTGATCCAGAATAAGTTGAGAACTATTGGCTATTGGAGTTATCAATTTTGATGAAATTATTATCAGATATTATAATCTTAATATAAATAAAAATTATCTGTTTGTATTTAAGGATCCCTATGATAAAGATGACGCTGAAGCAGATGCAATTTATGAATCAATTGACAAACGTATGGATGAAAAGAGGAAAGAATATAGAGAAAAACGCTTAAAAGAAGATCTTGAAAGATATCGTCAAGAAAGGTAATGTATGATTTCCTTAACTCTCCAATTACCACAAAAAACATGGTGTATATCTTATTTGCCACATTTACATTGGTTGAAATGGTGATATGGGATCATCTATTCAAGCATAAATTATGAACATTTGGCTTTTATTTTACCTGTATTTATTAATTCTTTATTGACCACATTACAAAAAAATTTTTGATACAAAACATATAAAAATAAAGTAAATATGACTTGCTCAATTCGCCAATTTCTTCTTTGTATGTTATATCTTCTGCGAAATAAATTAGGACTGATTATGACAATCTTTACATTTTATAATCAATAGTGTTATGTCATGTTTGTCTCATATTAAGTTGTTACAAATGAATTCTTAATTTCTTGCTTTACAGATGATTGCTTTGCAAAAGCAATCACCTGAATTAATAATTGATTCCTTTTCATTATACCTTGCCTAGATTTAATCACAATTTTCCATCATGATTAAATATTTAACCTTATCATAAAATTTTAATTTCAATTTTACATCATAGCAAAATCTTTATGCTTAGTTAAAACAGTAATTCATCGAGTTGTAACCTATTATAAAAATAAATTTCGAGAATTAGCGTCTCTGAATCAAGCTAATTATCAAAAACCTATTCCATGTACGTATTTTATTATGTACATGGGATAGGTATTAAAGGAATTATTATCTATATACTCATGTGAAGCCAGAGTAGATAACTAGTCATATAAAAATATTCATACTATAATTATCATGTTTCAGACCAAAAATCCAACAGCAGTTTTCAGATCTCAAACGCGAATTAAAACAGGTATCTGAAGAGGAATGGTCTGCAATTCCTGAAGTTGGTGATGCTCGTAACAGAAAGCAACGTAATCCGCGAGCTGAAAAATTCACCCCTCTACCTGATAGTGTACTCTCCAGAAACTTAGGAGGGGAGTCTTCAACATCTATAGACCCAGGATCAGGACTAGCATCCATGATGCCCGGCGTGATGACTCCTGGAATGTTGACGCCTTCAGGTATATTTGTATTTTTTTAAAGTTATAGAATTATTTACTGTAATTATGGTTGTGCAAAGTCGTTAATCAATAATTATGATAAAGAAAAGGAAATATAAACAAGCAAATATACTTTTAAATCAATTCATTGATGAGCGTTTCGTTTTGACAATAGTGTAGTGAATCCCTTATTTCTATAAATGTTTTTTTGAGTACAGTTATTTAACAAGTGTCTACCTCATGTAAAAGATTAGAAATCTTTATGAGTTTAGGAATCTTATTTAGCAAAAATTCAGGCATTAGTTTCATAATACGCCCAAAAAACATTACCTTCTTTTTTAGCAGTCAAATATGATTTCTCTTAAAAAAAAAAATTGAAATATTTACTGACTCCTCTTGTAGCACAATTAAAAAATCACTTTCAACATGACTATATATGATCAGGTATTTAAATCTAACATTATTATAAATTTTATACAGGTGACTTGGATCTAAGAAAGATTGGACAAGCCAGGAACACACTAATGACAGTTAAATTGTCTCAAGTATCTGACTCGGTGACGGGTCAAACAGTTGTTGATCCCAAAGGCTACCTCACAGATTTGCAGTCTATGATCCCTACATATGGAGGTGATATAAACGATATAAAGAAGGCTAGACTACTTTTGAAGTCAGTACGAGAAACAAATCCGAATCATCCACCTGCTTGGATAGCTAGTGCAAGATTAGAAGAAGTTACAGGTAAAATTGTTTCTTTTTGTTTTTTCATCCTAACATGATCAGCCCCTCAATAAGGACTCCATATAATTATTTGGAATTTTAAGTTAACTCCTCCATTACTGGGCTTTGTTGATTAATAATTAACATAACACTGTAAGTTCTGAAGGAGAATTCTGTCATTTAATAAATAATTTTACACACATTAAAGTTAAAATTAAAAATAAATAGTCTTAGTATTTTTGAGTTCAATTACATAGAATTGTCCAATTCTGGTTCAAAGCTGAGATACACAACAATTTTTACCTACAAATTTGCAGTTAAAATTATTCCTTTTTCTATACATATGTATATGAAAGAATATTTTAAATAGTCTGCCGTATTTTTTAAATCCCCATATTTATTCACTTCTTAGTTCTATTTACCTATCTTTAAAGGGTTCTGATATTTATTTATTTATTTATAGGATTACCAACATAAGATACAGCTAAACATTTTAGTACAATACACTGGTAGATTAAATCTAACTGTTCTTACATTTATAGGCAACCACAGCATGTCTTCTGTTTGATAAACATGAATATGAAGATATATAGATATTTATAGATACTACATATTTTTACTGATTGCAAAATTTTCAGGCAAAGTTCAATCTGCCCGTAATCTTATAATGAAAGGGTGCGAAGTGAATCCTAGTAGTGAGGAATTGTGGCTGGAGGCAGCGAGGTTACAACCTCGAGACACCGCCCGAGCCGTTATTGCTCATGCCGCTAGGAACTTGCCCCATAGTGTGAGGATATGGGTGAAAGCTGCTGATTTGGAGCAAGAAACAAAGGTAATGCACAAAAGTACTACTCTAGGTTATTAATAGAATCCTTCCGATGATTATGAGTTCATTACCCGCATCCCATTAATATTTTAAATGTGTAAGTTTGTAAAAAGGTTTGTTTAAACAACTGAAGGGATTTGAATTAAATTGGTACATCTGTACATTGGTATTGGTACATATTGATGTATACCGATGAAGCAGCGGAAAACAAATAGTAATATAATAATTTGTATCAAGATATGCTGTTTATTTTCTTTTTAAAAATTTATTTACAAATGTAGTTAAGTGTGGCCTCCCAGTCTTCCGATACCCATTATGAAAGCTCTACTTAGTTTGGAGCTAGATTGCGCTATGTCATAAGTGCAGGGCTACATATCATTATTTCTTTTTATTAATTCTATACTATTGTGTTATAGGCGAAACGTCGTGTTTATCGGAAAGCTCTAGAACACATTCCCAATTCAGTCCGTCTGTGGAAAGCAGCTGTAGAACTCGAGAATCCAGAAGATGCACGAATTTTACTGTCCAGAGCGGTTGAGTGCTGCCCGACCAGTGTTGAATTGTGGTTAGCACTAGCGAGACTCGAAACATACGAAAACGCTAGGAAAGTGCTTAACAAAGCGCGCGAAAATGTACCTACAGACAGACAGATCTGGGTGACTGCTGCTAAGTTAGAGGAAGCTCATGGTATGTTGTTTCCATTTATGGTAGCCATAAATAGTATTTTAGTTCAATATCAATACACAAAAAAGGTGGTATAGATTGGTTTTATAACCATTTGTTTCAGACTTGCGTAACATTAACATATATAATTGGAATAGCATACAGTTTAATGGCTTGTCTAATGAATAATGGTAACTGTCCATGGTATGCATAATGCACATCATCAAATACAATGTAACACCTATAATATCTTTTATGTATTTACTTCAGGATGTTTCTTTACTCAAATGTTTTTTAATGGGTCAAAATAACTATGGTAACTCCGCCTGCGCTGTCAGTATGCGCTGATGGGCACCAGTGAGTAGTAGGAATAAAAGAAGGTCAGTTGGCCCATCATGATGAATCCACAAGAATCAACCACGATGGTTTCTAAGAGGAACCGCGTTAAGGTCGACCTGATGACGCTAACTCTACCAATCTATCCTAATAATTTCACCACAATGCGACAGTCAACAAAGTTATTTTACTGCATTAGATATTACAGTTGCAATATCAATGTATCAATATTTTTTTCCTAGGGGGAAAGGGATTGTTAGCAATGGAGTTTGACAGCCCCATTGCTAGCAATATGCCCTATTAGGTCAACCTCCACGTGGTTCCCCCTGGAAACCATCGTGAACAATTCTTATTGAATTCGTCACGATGGGCCAACTGACATACTTCATCCTCACCTATCATCCTTCACTGGTACCCCGCCAGCGTATCCTGATAGCGCAGGCGGGATTACCATTCCATTATCACCAATTAAAAAAATTTTTTTTTTCCTTTGTGAATCAGGTAACACACATATGGTTGAGAAGATCATAGACCGCGCTATAACATCACTCAGTGCTAATGGCGTGGAAATCAACCGCGAACATTGGTTCAAAGAAGCTATGGAAGCTGAGAAGTCTGGAGCTGTTCACACTTGCCAGGTATCTTATTACAAATAGATTGATTTTAGACCATTTTATTAACAGATCCAGTTATGGTCCTTTTACAAGTGGTGCAAATACTATTAAACAGACTTTAAAATGAAATAGGTTCTTAGTTCGGTTCCAAATTGGAAAATTATATTTTTTAATCATAACATCTCATATAAATTTTATCAAAATAATTTCAGTAGTTTAGTTTTTAATTTAATTTAAAAATTATTCATTTTAATCCCTAAAAGAATCAGTCAATTGATGTGTTTTTTTTTTATGGAACCCAATCTTAATTATTATTAAAAAAGATTTTTCTCTGAGATGTAACACAATTATGCCGCCTATTTGGTTTTTTACAATTCTTTTTGCAAACGATAGAGCTTATTTCTATGTAGATCCCATTTTAATTTTAAACGAATAATAGTTTTTCTTTGCCGAGTAAAAAACTGTTTATCGCGAACTAAAGCATCGATTATTCTTCCCAAAATAAAATAATAATACAAAAACACGTCCAGTTAGAATTTTTTTAGAGGAGAGGGTTGTGCTATTGCCACTATGAATATTAAGTCTATATTGGATTGCCTACACCTACATATACGTAATATTAGTATCTACAAGAGATATCGACGTTTATTGACGCGTTCACGATGTAATTCATTGTCATATAATAAATTATCTGTATTATATTTAAATAAAAGAATATAATTCCTCAAAGGACATTTAACGTTTTTGGTTGGTGTATGGTTTAATTTGAGACTTTCTATTAAAGGTTGCTTAGTTGAAATCGCTTTGAGCAATAACATCTCATTGTTAATTTTCCTTACTAATAATGGAATAATAACCTCATCTAAGCATCTGAGGGCCTACCATGAAATATTTTCCGAAATTTCGGATCCGAACGAAACAAAAATTTGATGCTAAAATTACGTGATATGTTTAAAAATATTAAAAATGCTAAAATATCGTTCCTTTGAACTTTTATGATAGGATTTATGACAAACGAAATGTTAAGCTCCATTTACAGGGTCGATTTCGGTACAAACAGTATCACGAAATTAAGTCCGAAAATTCGGAATTTCATTTCATGGTAGACCCCCTGATCTGTTATCCTGATGAGTACGTAAGGAATATAGTCAAGTTAATTGACTCTTCACAATGAATTTCTAATCGATAACAATTGTTCAGCCTGATAAAATATATTGCTCGTTTTGATGACCTGTAATACAGGTATTCTTATATCTATCTCAGACACTAGTTTCTCACAATTATATTTATAATTTGATTACTTTAATCTAAACATATCTCATTATATTTCACTGTGATTAATTGTGAAGAGATAATAAATCGATTAATATTATTATTATTTAGAGCTACTCGTTTCCATTACTAATATTAATAATATTAAATAAATATTTGGAGTCTCAATTAGAAGAAGGATTATTTCTTATCATTTTCTTTATTTTTAGGCTATTATTCGAGCAGTTATCGGACATGGAATTGAACCTGAAGACCAGAAACATACTTGGATGGAAGATGCTGAAGCTGTAAGTATACCAAGTAATAATACAACCTATTCTTATTGAACTAAGATAAGGATGGCACTATGTAAAATTTTATTTATCTTAAAAAAAATCTATATATTCGAAAACAAAAGAATTTATTAAGAGTCTGTTTTCAATCTTCCAAACAAAAAAATATATATTGAAAACGTTTATAAAAAAAAATAAATCTATGAATGTATAATTTGCAATACAATGAAGTTTTATTATTGTCTGCATTGATTCAAGATATTCTAAAAACAAAACATTATTAGTAACTATTATATCTAATCGTAATAATGTTAAAGTCCGTTTGTATGATATGCCACCCGTAAGGTGAATATTATCTTAATGCTTTGAGCTTATCACAAAGAAAACAACACGTTTTCGATAAGTTTGATTACTTTTTATTCTATTTATATTATCTATTGTTATCTCTCCCCATGATTTACTAATTTAGTTAATCATAAAATCATCAAAAAAGAATATTTTGAAATTTGTCAGATCCTTGGATTTATGATATTTACCTACTTTTTATGTTATAATGTTTAAAATTAAACATCTATTTGAATTCTTATTCAAAACTTTGTTAAATACTGTATAGATAAATATCTCATTTTTATTGCCGCCATCTCATGAATGAATATCAATTATAACAATAATATGTAATAGTCGAGACAGTAAAAAATTAACTATCAAACAATTGTTTATAACCTGTGACTGTCGGCGTCCTCCTCTCATTATCCTATTTTATGTATCCAAAATATGGTTCATCTGTGCGTTTCATTCACTTCCAAGCCATTTAAACAACTTTTTTTTTATTTATTTACACAGTGTGCAAATGAAGGTGCATACGAATGCGCCCGCGCAGTTTATGGCTACGCACTATCTGTATTCCCATCCAAGAAGTCTATATGGCTGCGCGCAGCGTACCTTGAGAAGCAACATGGCACCCGGGCTAGTTTGGAGGCTTTATTGCAAAGAGCTGTCGCGCATTGTCCAAAATCAGAAGTGCTTTGGCTTATGGGAGCTAAGTCTAAGTGGCTAGCAGGTCAGTATTATTATTCTGTCAAATTAATGGTGAAAACATACATTGGACGCGTCCGTCAGTCGCGACTGATGGACGTTATCTGGACAGTATATTTACATCAAACTATGCAAACTAGTTCTTAGAACGGTAGCTGATGGATATTTTGCACAGACATCTCTGCACATAAACTAAAGAGAGAGAGAGAGATAAACAGTCAAATGAGCGTACACTGTTCTATGCGATCTACGGACGTATCCGACAGTATATTTCTAGATTAATGATTAATTTTAATCTCTAGCTATGCTTAAATGAAAAAAATATTTGAAAAAGAAGTCTTAATTTATTAGATTATATTTTTTCTTACCAGGTGATGTACCAGCAGCTCGAGGCATCTTATCGCTTGCTTTTCAAGCAAATCCCAATTCAGAGGAAATTTGGTTAGCTGCTGTCAAGCTTGAGAGCGAAAATAAAGAGTATGATCGAGCAAGGCGATTACTATCCAAAGCGCGAGCTTCTGCGCCTACTCCGCGGGTAAGAATTACTTAAACTATGTTTTATAATTGTGGAATTATTTACATAATTTAGGAAATATAATTAGGCTATAAGAATGAGCATTATAATAAAAAAAACACATATGGCGAACATGCATACGATTAGCCCTATAGTAAACAAGTACCGTAGTCTGCAACAGCATACATTAAGTGACGAAATTTGTATGTATCTTTTTTTTTATCTCAGAAAAACTCGGTGAAACAGCTCATGGTAAACTTCTCTAAAACCGTATTAAAAAAATTTGTACAATCAGTAAATAAAAAAAAATTATACTGTATTATCGAAGAGCTAATTGTGCGATAAGAAGTTCATTATGGTACCACCTTACGTAAAATTTTAGATTGATTAAAGAAAAAGTACATGAAAATTGACTTGATTATCGGAAAGCACGTGAGTAAATTGATAAACATTTACATCACGGGCTTATAAAGTACCTACACCAAAACATAATAATTGTTATATTATTTAACCTTTGTACTTTATTGTTATCTTATTAATGAATATCAAGTACAAAGAGCAAAGTACGTAATCGGAATTTAAAAATAAACACCTTTATATTTTAATTTCTAACTTATCCAATTATGTAATCTACAGCAAATGTATATCATACTATTTGTTTCAGGTAATGATAAAATCTGCAAAGCTGGAATGGGCTTTAAATAATTTGGACGTAGCGTTAAATTTGCTTGAAGAAGCAATTAAAGTGTTTGGTGATTATGCCAAATTACATATGATGAAAGGTCAGATCGAAGAACAAATGGGAAAGGACGAAGACGCACATAACACCTATTTTCAGGGGGTAAGTTTTACTCTGTTTATGATAAGTATTAAAAATTCACAAGTTGATAGAGACATCATACTAATAATAATAATAATACGATATAGTAATTACACACAGATAAATATATAAATGCGTTAATTGGATTCATACAATGTAGTTGTATGAAGTTAAACATTAACGAAACAAATAATGTTTAGGTATTATTGTGGTTACCTACTTATGTACTTATACTATATTATGTTTATCATTTCTAATACATTATATTACTATATTAGAAACGATAAATTAAAAAAAAAATCTATTGAATTACAAATGATATAAAACTATCAAGACCTTGAAATTATTATGGTATTTTTTTATTTCAGCTGAAAAAATGTGCTACATGTGTGCCGATGTGGATTTTATTATCGAGACTGGAAGAGAAATTGAAACATGTTACCAAAGCAAGATCAGTTTTAGAAAAAGCCAGGCTGAGGAATCCTAAGAATCCTGAACTATGGTATGTTCTATATATGAATATCATAAAGAAATGGTAAATAGCAATGTAGTAAAATTTTTATGTCTGTATATCAACTGCAAGTCTATTTTAAATTTGGTAAACAAGTATATAAAAATAGGAATATTATTAAATTGTTGTCAGATATATGATGTGAAAAACAGTTAAAAATATTATAAAAAAAAATACTATAAATGTTCCAATCCTCTATCTTTGCATTACACTATAACTATTACAACATGTTATACTTTAACTAGTTAAAACCTAATAACGAACACATATCTAATTACAACCAAAAATAGATAATTTAAATAAAAATTTCATAAATAAATAATTATTTCATAGGCTAGAGAGCGTCAGACTAGAGAGGCGGAACGGTAGCACGGAGATAGCAAACGCCGTAATGGCGAAGGCGCTTCAAGAGTGCCCCAACGCTGGACGATTGTGGGCTGAAGCAATATTTATGGAGTCAAGACCTCAGAGAAAAACTAAGAGCGTGAGTATATTTTTTATAATAGTAAAAATGGCTTAAGAGTCATGACCCTGGCGTAAATCCTCAGGAATGGCAACACATGAGGGGTATCATGAATATCACAGTATATATTGCTTATAGGCGACGGTTATCACTTTTCATCAAGTTGGTCATCAACTTATTCCAAGTGTAATTTTACTATAACCTATATTTAGTTATTTTAATATAGTGATATCCAAAATAGTCTTCTAACAAATGTAATACTAATAAGTAATCCTGGATACTTAGCTTTTTTTTATTTGTATATGAATCGTAACAGCACATTCTTTGATGACATAAATAGAAAATAATGTTATTTATCGTACTACGTGTAGTATTAAATGTATCGTGAAAGAGGAAAAATACCAACAACATGTAATTTGACACTCTTTCTTATTCCCACTACAAGAGGTCGCAAGAGGCGATTAAGTGAATAAGGCACAATACATCAGTATAAGGGTGGCGCTACATTCAGCGTATCTTCGGTCGCACATAGCAAAATATGTACAATTTGCTTCAGTCTGTCACACTATACCGAAGATCAATTATTGCGTCAACGTAACACCGCGATACGTTAATTATGGTATCTGTACAGTCGTTAAGAGAAGGAAAACTTGATAACAAACCACTTGATCAATAGTGAAGTATATCTTCTTCTTTTGTAAAGAGACTCGTGTTCAGCAATAGGACTTTAATAGATTTTTTTTATGAATAATATTTATGGCAAACAAGCTGACGACCCACCTGATGTAAAGTGGTAACCGTCGCCTTTAGACATAAGCAGTACCATGAACATAACATACTGTTTCGTCCATGATACCCCACATGCGTTGCTATTCCTGAGGACTCAGGTGTTACTCCTCTGTACCCTATAAATTCACTGCCATATCCCACCCTTCAAACCGAAACACAGCCAAGCAAACAACTGCTTCACGGTAGAAACACGAATGGTACAGAGGTGCCTACGTAAACGACATTTGTACAAAGTCTGCCTCTGGTGATGTAGTGATGTGGCCCTTATTTTCTATGTATTATGGTACCTAATTACTCTAGAAAAAGTAAAAATAAGGACTTCCTATGGAAGTGCTTTCTAGTGTACAATCTTTGTAATGTGTATGGATTATGTAGGTGGACGCGCTGAAGAAGTGCGAGCACGACGCTCACGTGCTACTCGCCGTCTCGCAGCTCTTCTGGACCGAATCCAAGATCAACAAGTGTCGCGAGTGGTTCAACAGAACGGTGAGTTGCTACTTTTTTATTTACTATTAAGATGATGTGACAATGATTCAACCGTGCTCATGCGAATGGGAAAACAAATTTTTATGAAGTGTATAATACGCATAACCACATTACTACAGTACAGTACTATATGTATATTCCATGTGGAATATACATGTAGTACTGTATTCCCGCAAAATGCGATCGTAGCCGACTGCGTTTCCGCTGAATGCACACGTAGTCGACTGCATTTCTGCTGAATGCGCGCGTAGCCGACTGCGTTTCTACTGAATGCGCGTGTAGCCAAAGGCGTTTTGTGAAATGCACACGTAGTCGATTGTGTTTTACTTACTTCATTCAGAGTTATGGCAGTCACTATTTACCGTTAGATTTTTATTTAAAAATAAATCTAAATTTAAAAGGCTAATTTGCTTGCTGTATTTTCACCCACTTAAGCGAAGCATCTAAGATATTACCTACTTAGAAATCTAAATAGAAAGAAAGTAATAGTAAATAGCTATTTACCGCGGCTTCCCCTTCACATTATTTCCTATCCCATAGGATTTTTGTAATTCCTTAATGAATGCCTGTATTATAAAAGGTTTAACTATTTTTATTTTTTTTTTTGCTCGCCTATTAGATATTGGAATAACTGTCCCACACATTTTGAACACATGGGCTATAAAATTATTTGTGTAGGTTGTTAGTTCATGTCAGATTCAGATATAACAATCAGTTGCGGTTGGAAGTCGGCCAAAGATATTCAAATGAGTAAATATGAATATTTTTTTCCCAAAATCGTTGCTTTTTATACGGCGAAACACTATAATCTAGTATATTACTTATTATAATTTACAAAAAAGTATAAATTTACTAAAAATTTAATACTTTTTTTTTACAAGTCGTTCATTCGTGCAATGAACATTTACAGTTTGTTGAGCCAAGTCAATTTATCATCTGAGTTCTAAAGTAATTTTGTTCGCTCAGTTGAAAACCAAATCGTAATTTAATACGATAAGATCATATCAGGCATTGACAATTCAATCTAAATAACAGTTATTCAAACCCTGAATAGGGGCAAATCGTGTATATTAATCGTTTTTATTAACATGATAATATTTTTTCTTCACAAACAACTGTGAAAAAAAATTACGCCACATTATTTAAACATTGGAAGAACTTTAATCAACACCCTGGAGACAGGAGTTATAAAATACACTATAAAAATAAAAAATATTCTTAATTCACTGTTCGAGTATATTTGAACGAAGCCACAGGTTTATTAACCCCTATAGACGCAAACAAACGTTTTTCAATTTGTATTTGGAATGAACTGGCATTGTTTTTACCGGAAAATGGTTGTGATTTTTTAAAATAAATTTTTCTTTTTTTATTTGAATACTTATTGTCACTGCTTCGTATGTTTTTTTAACATAAAATATCTGGTAATACTTGCCGATTATATAGCTTTCTATAGGTGAAAGAATTTTTAAAATCGGGTTTTATTTTTAATTTAAAAATTAAAATATGTCGAATATTCTCTCTTTATAAGCTTTACAAGCTTTTACCCGTAACTTTTCCCGATATGTTGACTAACCGGTATAAATAGCCTATGTCCTACCCCATCTCATATAGTAGCTAACGAATATACCAAACTTCATAATAATTAGTTAAGCAGGATAAAAAATAATTTTCCAAACTTATAATATTAGTATGGAGTTTATTGGAATATAAACTAACTAAAAATTCGTAGGTAAAAATCGACCCCGACCTCGGCGACGCGTGGGCATACTTCTACAAATTCGAGCTACTTCACGGCACGGAACAACAACAAGAGGATGTGAAGACCCGGTGCAAGACGGCTGAGCCGCACCACGGCGAATATTGGTGCAAGGTTTCCAAAGAAATCGCTAACTGGTGTTTCAGTACTGAACAAATCCTGTTACTAGTCGCTAAACAGTTACCTGTCCCCACGTGAACGTATTATCTGATGTATGATAATGAAATGTATTTATTATACGGAATGAGTATAGATTTCTAAATAATCTATTTTTGTCATTTTAATAGAGTATCTATTATCATTTTTGTGGAAAGTGTATATTATACTATATGAATTGACAAGGTGTTATATAGTTATTGATTTTATTTGTCAAGTATCAAGTGACCGTTCAAGAAGGAGTTTTCCATGTTTTGATGTAAAGCGCGAACACTTCATTGTTAATTTAGAATAAGAATTAGTATAAATTAAAGTAATTAAAAGTAGTTGAATTTAATTTTTTATTGAATTACTTCTTTTAAATAAGAACTAGGGTTATAGTTATCAGAATCTTATACTGCATGTTTCAAGTTTTATTATTACATATTAATCACTTATTATTACAGTTGAAAAATCTAATTAATTGAATTTTTTTATCAATTATGAAATCAGATTATAATAACAATGAGAACGGCGTGGATAAACACTTTTTATAAACGTTCTATAAATACACAATGAAAACGAGTTTGTGTGAGTTTGGAGTATAAACGTGCGCTGGCGCTCTGCCAGCCATGGTGCGCATGCGTGTGCTAAATAGCTACACGAAATTTTTACTTCTTTCATTTCCCAAAACTAAGAGTAGTAGCGTTTGACAGCGATGCTCAAATTATAGTAATATTTAGTTAGATTATAGTGTCAGTGATATTAAACATAAGAAAGTGTTGTGAATAATGTCGCCCAAGTGTCCAGTGCCGCCGTTGCAAGAGATCACGCTTTCCTTGGTGGCGAGACAACTCATCCATACCCTGACGCGTGTGTCCTCAGAAGAAGATGTCGCGCTACCGTTCGCTATGGTTACTTCTTACTATGAAAGCATGGGCGCCACGAGCGACATCTTCCAAGATCTCATTAATTTAATACTCAGCTCAGAATACCTTGATCCATCTATCAGATATTATTCAATGCGACTGCTGCTCAAAGAAAACGTAAAAACATTAGCGACAGGAATTTTTCCGTGCCCTTACTATGGGAAAGTACTTGATTTGATTATCGAGCAAGGGCGACACTTGACCTCGCTAAATTTAAAAGGAGTTTGGGTCAAAGATGAGCATTTAACGCTCATGTATCACTTAATCAAGAATCTACCTAGTTTGACTGTACTTAATATACCTTACATCGCCAATGATGAAGTGCTTAAGTATATTGGTGAACATAATAAAGTTTTGAAGCTCTTGGATGTGTCTGGGGAGACGGATATTACAGAGATAGGTATAGATGCAATGTTACGTGGTAATCCCCAACTTACACAAAGCTTGACTGTTGTAAACATTGGTATGTACGGCGAGGAGAATATTGATCACACAGATGTGGCGCTACTGATACGTCAATTACCGAATCTCACCAACCTCGGTAGTTATTCGTTCGTCGGAAAATCTATTTACCATATTTATAATAGTGATTGTCCTCCAGGTTTCAAAACGAAACTGCAATATTTACACGATGTTCAAACGAATATGCGCATGATGAAAGCGATACTCGCGCTATGTCCGATGCTAGAAACTATTTATTTAGAGGAACCAGATCAAGGCGTTCTCCAACAAGTGAAGGAATTAAATAATATAAACAAAATCAAACTGAACAAATTCCAATGTCATGAGTTGCACCAATTGTTGGATAAAATAGGATACAAAATCGTAACCCTTATGCTCTCGGCATCACAGGGGTCGTTCAACTTTACCAGGATAGCAGAGACGTGTAGGAACTTAGAAAGTATAGAATTCTATCAGATACATACTGCCACACACGAGGAAGAGATACCGTTCAATAAATTGGAACATATTGAGATTATACACGGAAACTTATCGCCTTCATGTCTCAAGTACCTGATGACGGCCAGCCCAAATTTAAAGAAATTAATTATTGGAGATGAAATCAAGCTCGATGACGACGATATGTCAAGGTAAGTAATCTTATCTAAACCAAAGCTATTTTCAGCTACGTTATTATTGTGGCTAAACGGTATCTCCGCCGTTGTTGACTTTTATTTTCACAATTTAATAATTGAAAACTTGACAATTTTCTCTTTATATTCAATATTAAGGATTTTATTAGGAATTATTTTCATTGAGTACGTTATTTGATATTTTACAAGATTTTTTTTTAATAATAAGAGGAAGTTTTATGAATATCACATAGTTTTATATATAACATTGGAATATTTCATTTGGATTTTTCACCATTGAATTGTAAAAACAGTATGTATGAGTTATTAACTTTTATTTTTTTATAGGTATTACTAAGATAGGCTTCCTCCGGTTCTCTTTTTCTTAATTCTTAAAACCCTTACATTTTTTCGTGCAAAATTTCAAAAGTTTGTGCTTCAAGCGTGGGTATTCTTTATTCGGTACTATTCTTGAGAGAGGGCTAAGATATTTCTTTATATTAGAAATTATCCTGATCAAGTGACATCAACAATGCACGTATCCACAATGTCAATATAAACCATCACTTAATTCTGTCATCATTTACTAGTTAAAATTGCTCCACCACAAAATAAAACAAACAAAAAATGATATGGGAAAGTTGATACCGTTAAAGTTTCCTGTAGAGGCATATTGACTTACAATGACATGAATTATAAATTTCAATGAATGATATGAATTTTAAGCTTATGTTTATGTCTATTGTAAATTGACATAACATATTAAAAAAAAAATAAGAATATATTTCGTTTAAATCTGCTTCGAGCTTATATTCTGTAAATGAATCTCTACCATTTCTAACTCGGCCTAACATATATGTTATTATTTCCATTCATTTATTTTTTGGTTAATCTAAATCTAAAAAATCTATAGTTTCAATAGAACTTAAGGAAAGGTAACCAAGTTTTGTTGAAATAATCACAGAATAATTCTGAATGAAATAAAGTAGTAACAAATTGTAATAATGAATTTATTGAATTTTTATTTATATATACAGTTGGACTGACAGTCTTATAGTCGAGTCTATTTTTGTTTTCTACATTTTTATTAAGTTCTATTAAAACAATATAATACGAAATTCTTATTATGGTGTTCCAGAATGGTCCGCCGATACAAGTTTGAGAATCTTGAAGGCATCTGGTTCCCAAACGCTCCACGGTTAACGCGAGACACCGTAGAGCTTCTGATGGAGTGCTGCCCCAAGCTTCAGAGTTTAGGCCAACTAAGTGGGTGGCGGTTCACCCCAGACGATATGATGCTCATGAGAGCCATTATAGCTAGTACGAATACGGACCTAGTGCTATCACCACTTGGTATATTTCAACAAGGGAATTAGTACCTACAGTGAATTATTCAAAGTGATGTACAATTATCATAAAAAATATACTCAGGAATTTATCAAGAGGCCGTCTTTGTTAAAAAAAAATTTGTAATTTGTTTTTATTACGAAGAATATTTTACATCACATCATTTAAGGGTACCATAAATAAAATTACCTCGATAATTGAAATCCACTATATAACTGTAAATATGCGAAGTTTTTTGCCACGTGTCCTGCAAATGTAGTACTAATTACTCGCAAAGCGCGCCGGCATATCCAGACTGTAGCCATCACTCGATTACCTACTCTCGGTATTCGAGAGAGCAGAGGCCGCCAGCGCCGCCTCCCAGCTCGATTCCATGATTGTATACTCTAGATTAGCGAATGAGTTGTCTCTGCTTGTTAATTAGTCTGTACTGTCTGTAAGGTTATTTTTAAGAGTGTCCATGTTTTTTGTGTATTACAATAATTAATACGAGTTATATGTTTACCTCCAGTAAAAGTATATTCCCACAATAAAAAACGTTTTCTTTGGCCCGTAACCCCAAGAACTCACTAGAGTGGCAGCCCAACGCGAGGCCGAACATTTAATAATTAAAAGTGGTGCAAGTTGTGAACAAAAGACTGTGAAAACCATTTGTTTGTTGCCGAGTGTTAGTGTACAGCCTAATCCATAATCATTAGTGCTAGAACATTCGACAAATGGACAGTCCTGGTTCAAAACTTTAATATTTTTACAAAAAATTTTGAGGTAAAGACATTCCATATAATAGTTACGTCGTATTTTATGGACATTTTTGGGACAGTATCAAGTATTAACAGTGTATCGAAGTAATTGTTGCATCAAATCAAAAAAGAAATTCAATATTGTAGTGTGTATAATTTTGTCATATTTCAATTTCCGTTTTTTATTCGAAATTCTTCTTGTCATACTGCTATAGACAATATAGAGTGAAGGAACGGACAATTTTGGATTGAATGTTGACAGTACAATATTGCCAACATTACGTCACAAATAGTGATGTACATGTGTCGATAAATGTAGTGAAGTACGAGTCGCTATCGAAAATCGATTTGATGACAAATTATTTGTTGTGAACTTTAAAATGGTTCTTACACGTTCTAGAGCTAATAGTTTAGTGAGTGAGGACAGTTCACGGGTTTTGACTACAACTGTCAGTTCGGTGACATCGGCTAACCCGGCTGCGCCTGTCGCGAGTACGCAGTGCACGCGATCGCCTGTCATCTCAGGCACAGCTGATGACACACTTCAACACAGCGTGTTTCAGCCTGGCTCCGGCGAAATTGGTGGGGTGCACACTATGTCAAGATTGCCCCCGCCGGTCACTACAGTTGCACCTGCTGAACCTGGCGTGCATAGCGTGCCGCCGCCTCAGATTCATCACATCGTGCCTACAACAACGCCTGTTGCCACAATGCAGGCCACAGCTACTACGTGTCCGCAAGTACCTATTCAGTTACTATATGCTATGTCTCCTGGTTGGCATGTGCATCCTGCACATCGATTCCCGCCGATCCCTACTGCTCCGACCACTTCAGCCGCATTTTATGGCATGCCTGCATGGTCTACCCAGACGCACACGAATGTTTCGCCATCTATGTATGCTCCGCCATATATACATCATGCTCCCATGCACTTCATTCCACCCGATGGATACTTACCTTCGCCGACGATGCCTGCACCTGTAAATAATATGAATAGTCATCAATCTTACCTCGATGGTGCATCGAACACTGCTGCTTCTGCTGCACCTACGCCTTTGGTAATCACGGATGGTCAGTTAGCTCAGATTGTGAGTGCGCTTAGAACGCAACCTGCTACTGTTGGAGGTAATTTTGCCAGGTGTACTGCACGTTTTGATGGAACGGGAGATATACAAGCTTTTGTGGATGCTATTCTTATATATAAAGAATGTGTTAGTATCTCAGATGAAATAGCGCTTCGTGGTATACCAATGCTTTTAACAGGTTTCGCAGCAACCTGGTGGCAAGGGATCAAGCACTCTGTGACGACCTGGAATGAAGCGATACAACTACTTCAAGGTACCTATGGTGTTCAATTACCGCCACATAAGGTGTATAGACGCCTGTTCGAACGAGAACAAGGAGACGAAGCTACTGATATTTTTGTAACTAAAGCGAGAGCGCTGATTAGTCAGCTGCCGCCAAATACGCTTTCAGAAGAAACTCAGCTGGACATGGTTTATGGTCTACTTAGTTGTCATATACGAGAGAAAGTACCTCGAACATCGTTTTCATCATTTGCCGAACTGCTTCAGAAAGCACGCATTGTTGAAGAACTGTATGCAGAAGGCCAGCAAACGCCTGTCACAGCGACGATGTCAACACCCAGTAAATTAGCCTTCTCGACACCCGCTGCTGCATCTAAGGGTCCCGTTATGAAGAAAACCAGACCGAGATGCGGGTATTGTAAACAATTTGGTCATAAAACAGAAGGATGTCCGAAAGGACAGAGACAAAGAGGTAAGCAAGAGGGAAACACTAAGGAATATCCTCCACCTCCAACAATTACATGTTATGGCTGTGGTGCGCCGGGAGTGATCCGTTCAAATTGCCCCACGTGCAAGAAGCGGCCGACCACACCAGTAACGGCATCAACATCCTCCACTGCTTTCCAATCGGTTGCTGCCTTGGGAAATAAGGATATAGACCCACGAGCACGCCCGAAACTTGATGTTGAGATATATGGTGAACGTGGTACCGCTTTAATTGATACCGGTGCAAAACAATCTATTGCTAGTAAAAGTTTATATACATTTTTAAGAACTCGAAATCATGTGTTTAGTTTTGTAAATACTACTGTTAAATTAGCCGATGGCTCTAGTAAATTAATGAATGTTGCAACCACTAAGGTTGATGTAAAGGTTCAAGGTATAATTATACCAACTGTGTTTATAGTATTACCCGATGCTACAGACTCCTTATTAGGAATGAACTTTATACAGGAAGCTGGTATGATACTGAATTTTGAAAGGCACTTGTATACGCTTAAATCTGATTCTAGGCACTTCAACCTTAGGTATGAAGCGATTGATCCAGTGGGTGAGATCGCAACAGCTTCAGCCATCGTTCTTCGTGACGAGGAAGGTGCGTTCCTCTCAGCTTCGGAACGGGAGTCATTTAACACTCTCCTGCATGACAATCGGGACATCTTCGAGCCAGGGGGAGCCCCTACAACGTTCGCAGTCCACAGGATTGATACAGGTGAGCATGCTCCTGTAGCTGTACCGCCTTATCGTGTCTCGCCATGGAAGAAAGAAATTATGAGGAAGGAGATAGAACGTATGTTAGAAGAGGAAATCATAGAAGAAGCAGAGTCTGAATGGGGATCTCCGGTAGTGCTGATTCCAAAGAAGTCGCCTGGTGAGTGGCGGTTTGCTATAGACTATAGAAACGTAAACGCCATCACAAAAACAGATAAGTATCCATTGCCCGTCATTGATGACATCCTGTTTTCTACCAAGGCTGGTGCAGTCATGTCTACGATCGATTTAAAGTCAGGATACTGGCCGATCGAGGTCCACCCCGATGACAGAGACAAGACGTCTTTTGTCACGCCTTTCGGTGTGTTCCGTTTCCGCCGCATGCCGTTTGGGTTACGTAATGCGCCGGCAACCTTCCAAAGGATGATGGATCGTTTCAAGGCCGGACTAAAGGAGGTAACTATCGTTGTATATCTTGATGATCTCCTTGTGATCTCCTCTGATCTGCAGTCGCACCTGCAGGACCTGCAACAGGTGATCGATCGACTGCGTGTTTTTAACTTACGAGCCAATCGAGAGAAATGTGTATTTGGTCGTGAGAAGGTAAAGTATTTAGGTCACCTTATCTCCGCGAAAGGGATAGAGCCGGATCCATCCAAGGTGGATGCTATCGTAAATCGGGAACCGCCGGTGAATCTGAAGGAACTGAAAACCTTCTTGCAAACCTGTTCTTGGTTCCGAAAATTTATTCCGGAGTTCTCAAAGGTGAGTGAACCACTTACAATGTTAACACGAAAAAAACAATCTTGGCTGTGGGAGGAACCGCAGAAGAGGGCTTTTGAAGAACTAAAGTCTCGCCTAGCTTCTGCCCCGATTCTCCGCCAGCCCGCTTTCGACGAGCCGTTCATTTTGAGAACTGATGCGAGTGCGTATGCCATAGGGGCCGTACTAATGCAGGGACCTGACCCCAAATCCGAACAACCTATTGAGTACGCCAGCCGGTTACTCACCAGTGCTGAGCGTAATTATACCACTACGGAGCGAGAAGCTTTGGCCGTAGTATGGGCGTTAGGAAAGTTCCGAGGTTATTTGGAGGGAGCCCAGGTACGTATCGGCACTGATCATCAACCACTGAAGTGGTTGTTCTCTCTGAAAACACCCAGTGGACGTCTGGCTCGTTGGGCACTGAAGATACAAGGTTTCAATCTAGATGTTGAATATACTCCCGGCAGGATTAACGTGGTTGCTGATACTCTTAGTCGTCCTGCTGAGTCAACGAATTCTACGTGCGATGTATGTCCTGTTGTTTTAGACTTACCACATCGAGATCCAAAGACGCTCCGTGATGCACAGCTGGCTGATCCTGACTGTAAGAAGATCATCCTGGCTTTCGAGGATGCTGATCCTACGCGCGCGACTCTCTGGACTAATAAAGGGTACTATATGACGCAAGGTGTCTTATACCGAGCTGACCCCGAAGGTGAGAGTGAGGAACCTTTGCTTGTCGTTCCTGTTACCATGCATGATGAGGTGATGAAGGAACTCCACGATGCGCCGACAGCTGGACATCCTGGAATCGAGCGCACGTACCTGAAACTGAAAGAAAGGTATTATTTCCCTAATATGAAACAACTAGTTACGCAATATGTCAAGGCTTGTGAGCTATGCCAGAAGTATAAGCCTACCAACTTGAAACGCGCAGGGTTATTACAAACCCCAACACCTCAGCAGCGTTTCGAAGTTTTGTCCATGGACCTGTTCGGACCCTTACCGGAAGGACCTAAAGGTGAGCGCTGGATATTTTTAATTGAGGACACAGCAAGTAGATGGGTGGAGATTTTTCCTCTCATAGATGCTACTGCTGAGTCATGCAGCAAGGTCTTGGTCGAAGAAGTGTTCCTACGTTATGGTTTGCCCCGTAGAGTTATCTCCGATAACGGCGTCCAGTTTGTCTCGAACGTGATGCAAAAGGTAATGCTTGCTTTTGATGTCCATCAGAACTTAACGCCCTTATATCACCCTGAAGCAAACCCTGCAGAACGCAAGAACCGAGAGATGAAATTGATGCTCTCTATTCTTCTTAGTGCTGATAGTGATCATCGGGACTGGCCAAGTAAGTTACCCTTAATAAGGTTTGCCCTCAATAACGCTCCAAACCAAGGTACTGGTAAATCCGCTGCTTACTTGACGTTCGCTCGAGAGATGCGTGCTCCTATACATCTTGCCGACGATATCCGTCAAGTTGTAAGTTCTAATAATTATGTAGAGCAGATTACACCCTACTTACGTCATTTCGCTGAGAATTTAGAGAAGGTAACTAGAAGAATCCGGAATGAGCAAGAGCGACGAAAACGATATGCTGATAAAGGTCGCCGTCCTGCTCCTGAACTTGCTGTTGGTGATAGAGTGCTGGTAGAAGCACATATCCCGAGCAACGCCTCTAAGGGTATTAGCCATAAGTTTGCGGCTAGACGAGAAGGACCCTTCGTTGTTAGTCAGAAGGTGAGTCCCACCACTTTCGAGGTTATAGGAAAGGAAGGCGTTGTGAAAGGCAAGTATCATACTAGCGCCTTGACTCCTTATCATGGTTCGGATGCTACGTTGAGGCCTTTGAAGAGGAGAGGCCGACTCGCGGTTGCCAAGCCACCTCCGGGACGTACCGGTGACTTGGAGGGGGAGTCTGTAGCCATCACTCGATTACCTACTCTCGGTATTCGAGAGAGCAGAGGCCGCCAGCGCCGCCTCCCAGCTCGATTCCATGATTGTATACTCTAGATTAGCGAATGAGTTGTCTCTGCTTGTTAATTAGTCTGTACTGTCTGTAAGGTTATTTTTAAGAGTGTCCATGTTTTTTTGTGTATTACAATAATTAATACGAGTTATATGTTTACCTCCAGTAAAAGTATATTCCCACAATAAAAAACGTTTTCTTTGGCCCGTAACCCCAAGAACTCACTAAAAGACATTCTAAATGCAAGTAATTTCTCCGAAATTATTGTTTATAATTTACTTGGAGAGCTGTGAACTTGATTATCAAATCTAATAAGGAAAGAGCATAAAAGGGCTAAATTACATGTAGTCTAAATAAGTCTTGATGTAGTGCCAATAGTCTAAATTTACATCCAAAAGTATTACCCTTTTTCAGTCGGGGAAAAAACAGGAAATCACCACGATTGATATCTTTGCATAGAAAACCTCTTAATTAAAAAAAAAGTGCATTTGAATATACTTTCAGACAGCTCAGACACTAAAGCGGTGAAAACAATTTGCTAATTCTAGTCAATATTTTTTTTATTATTGTAGTAATAGCATTTTGTATTAAAAATATTTTAATCAAACAAACAATAAATATTTTTATGCATTTTTATTAATTCTTTAATTTTATAAAATTTCTATTAATTAATAACCTTTCCTTTAGATTATATAGATAGTGTCTCCATACAAATGCTTCAAAAAAGGGAGTCAACTTTTTCTTACAATTGTGTACGCGACAGTATTACAAAATTAGAAATTATTACTTTAGATTAAGGTAAATAGGTGAAGTTCGTAAAAATAGCGGTCGTTTTTATTAGTTCTGACACCGGATCCATATTTGAAATGTATACGGATCCTTAGATATCGATTTTGAAAGCAATCGGTCACATAATATAAAAAATAAAAATGGCGGCCATTTTTATTAATTATGACACCGAATCCATATTTGAAATGTATACGGATCCTCAGATATTGATTTTGAAAGCAATCAGTTAAATAAAGAATATAAAAATGGCGGCCATTTTTATTAATTCTTATACCGGATCCATATTTGAAATGTATGCGGATCCTCGGATATCGATTTTGAATGCAATCGGTCAAATAATAAAGAAAATAAAACTAACGATCATTTTTATCAATTGTGTCACCGGGTTCACATGTAAAGTATACACGAATCTTTAGATTTTGATTTTGAAAGCAATCTATCAAATAACAAAGTCTCTATAGTAACTACTAAATAATATCTCTATTTATCTATTTACATAAATAGTATATTTATAAAATAAAAACAAATAATAATTAGAAATAATTGTTATTGAAAAAAAAAACTACATCTACTACTCATTTCGGAAATTTTAATTCACTTGTGGGGAGATTTTTCGTATGCTTATAGCACTAATTATAGCGCAAATTCTTAAAAAAAAATGTAAATATTTATAATTATATTTATGCTTAAAATCAAAGATATTTACCGGTAAAAAGAGATTTGTTTATTAGTTTTATTTTTCGTCTTATAATTTTTGCTCTTTTTTAGTGCGCAAAAACTCATTTTAATTAAATATAGATACGTCAAGATACAAGATACGTTAAAATGTAAGTATATGGAACACTAAAAGAACAAGTCAGCTAATTTGACAATTAGCTGACAAAAAGTTGGCCCGTTTTTTAAGCTTGAGGCTCTATCTATATAATCTAAGCCTGTCCCTGTTTCAAATTTTCAAACGTACCATTAAAAATAATATTAAATACAAACATAAAAATGTTATTACTTATGTGTTATAATTAGGTTAAGTACCTAAACGTAAACCGTAAACGAGACAATCAACAAAACAAACAAGATTATTGCATAGGCATTATTTCAGAATTTATATTCTTAAAATTTTATTGTGCTGGTGTGTCTTCTTTATTTTCAACTTCTTGTTTAGTAGCAGATTTCTCTTTTATGAGCGCTAATTTCTTCTTTACGAGTCTAGCCTTGTACATTTTACATTCATCTGCACATTTAGTTGTGATAATACTTCTGTAAATAAAAAGTAAACGCTTATTAATATATATTTATATATGTAGTTTAGTAAAAATTCTGTAAGTAACCACAAGATTGGCCAATATATAAAAAAAAATTGCAACATGCCTGTTTCTTAGAAGTCTAATTATTAAAAGACCTATAAAGTAAGTAAAATATATCCAAAAGTAAGTTTTAAAATGTACATATAATGTAATGTAGTATAAATATATAATATAGTTACTAATATAATCAATACAATGGCCTACCCCTAACTTTCCCATGGGTGTCGTAAAAGACGACTAAAGAAACTAAGGTCTAAAGGTTGAGTGATATGCAATAGCGTCCCGCTTTAAAGATCACCAAAACTTAACTGCGGTTGCCAATCTGCCTCCCAAACGTGGCAACTACTGGCAAACCCCCCTCAATCAAGGCTCGATATGATGATGATGATGATTAATATAAAAATCATAATTATACTCGCATCTTCTACACAATTCCATTTTTAATACATACAAAAACTTTATATATTACAAACTCTTACCTGACTAAATTTTCTTTAACTTTGAATCTGCCTATTATTTCGATGATAATGTCAGATATAATTTTCGGATCTAAACACATTTTTGGTGGTTTATTCTGAAATGCAGGTGACTTTTTTCCAGTTAATGAATGTGTAGCTAAAGTCCTGAAACATGTAATTTATGTTAGAATATTATAAATTATTCTTTATTAAAATAATATCTTAAACCTAAATAGGAATACATTTTAAACTAAACTACTGGCTTATATAGAAAAACATCAACACATTCATTAAACAATGGGTAAGTATTTACGAGCACAACAAAAAGAGAGATATGTACAATAGTAGATAGCATTTAACACGTTTTTACATTGTATTCGAACAAAACATGTTTGAAACCATACCTTCGTGGAAATGCAGCCAACAATAATGTGCGTGTTGCTATTGTGTAAGATTTCCAATTTACTTTTCTAAAACTGTCTTTATGTATCAATGTTTTTCCACTTCCTATGGGTACCTAAAAGAAATAAAATGTAATCAGAGTTCTATTGTAGTATTATACATCTTTAATTTTTTTTTTTTACCAGTAGAAGAATATAGTAAGCCTTACCCATTCATTTTCACCAACATTAGATGCTAACGGTATCTCAACTTTGTCTTTATTAACCTCGTGTGCATTATATTCATTATTTACGAGCGATGCGTCCTCAAAACGATGAGACTCTTCATTTCCTCCACTTTCTTTTTCATCATTGGATAGATCTTGATCGCATTCTATTTCTGATTTATTTTTGTCACATTCATTACTACCACTATCAATTTTTAAATTTCTCATATCTTTTACCTTTTTGAACAAATCATAAAAACATCGTCTCATACCAATAATATCGTTAAAGTCAATGGTGACATTCTGCAGTGTTAGTTCAGTCAGGGGTAGAGCACCCTGTCCATCTGATAAGGATTTGTCTGCGTTTGTTTCTCTAACAACATCATAAAGAGTTCTTTTTTTATTGTTATCAGTTTTCACACTGCTACTTGCATTCTGTATTGCTTTTGGTATGACTGCATTAGCTCTGTGAGATGGTGTAAGAGTCTTCCTTTTGGTCCTAGATTTTTCAATTATGTATTTCTTTCTGTCAGATACTATTTTCTCTTTTGGTTGTTCTTCCTGAAATATTAAGGTGAGTATATAAGTATCAATATAGTCGCCGATATACTAACAATTAGCGCAGGTAATCGAATCTATACATGTACGTCAATCAACCAGCAATTTTCTGTTAGTTATTTTTTAATATTTCTTTTTATTTATATTTTATTTATATATTATACTAATTAAAGTTTATAAAATTATCCTGTTTTATTTCTGAATTAAAAAAGTCTATGCACTATTACCTCATCGGAATCAGAGTTGTTGTTATCGCTCGGCTCCCATGACGAGCCACTAGATGAGAAGTCGCTTGGCTCTTGCTTGGTCTGTTCGTCTGATGCGATGTCTGTGCCTTCTGACCTCTTTTGACCCACCATTTGCTCAAGTAGACGACGTTCATCTGTTTTATTATAATAGTGTTAACAATTTCGGAGTAACAATATTAGTACCTATATGGTATTATTTTTAGTAATACGCATATTTTATTTAATAAAAAATACATTTTATGCTAACCCCGTCTGCGTTTTATTTTTTTAATGGATGATAATGGAATAGTAACCCCGCCTGCGCTATCGGTATACATTGGCAGGGCACCAGTGGGGGACGGTAGGTGAGAATGACAGGGCAGTTCAGTTAGTCTATCGTGATAAATACATCTGGAATCCAGCACGATGATTTCCAGGGGGGACCACGTGGAGGTCGACCTAATAAGGTATATTGCTAGCAATGCAACTGGTGTTCCGCATTACTAACAATCCCTACCCCCTCCCCCCTTAAATTGATTTCTATGCGGTGCCCCCTGGAAGCCATATTGTTTCATACTCGGAGAATTCGTCATGATGAGCCAACTGACCTGACTTCATTCTTTTCTGTCATCACTCACTAGCACTTTGCTAGCATATACCGATAGCGCGGGTGAAATGGTATCCCCAACTCACTTTCGCGCATTAAAAATGATTTCCAGGAAAACCACGTGGATTGATAATAATGGAGAGATTAACCTTCATTGCCAGCAGTACATCCTATTAAGCCTACCTCTGCCCATTTCCCCCTGGAAACCATCGTGATTAAGACGGGTTACTGACCTACTTCATCTTGTGGGGAAAGGAATTGTTAGTAATGAAGACTGAGAATCCCATTGCTAGCAATATACCCAACCAGGTCGACCTCCTCAGGGTTCCCCCTGTAAACTATCATGGTTAATTCCTGATGAATTCATCATGATGGGCTAACTGACCTGTTTTCATTCTCATCTATCACCCTTCACTGGTGCTCCGCCGGCGTATCCCATTAGCGCGGGCGGGGTTACCATTCCATTTTCACCCATAAAAACGCCTACTTCATCTTTACCTGTCATCCTTCACTGATACCCTGCCAGTGAGTATCGATAACGTAGGAAAGCCTACTGTTCCATTTTCATCCATTAAAAAAATAACTAGTTACTACATTATACATACATTCCGCGGGTTTGCCTGCGAGGATCTGCATAAATTATGCCCTCTGTGTTATTAATTACTATTTATGGTCTACCTATGTACTAAATTCATTCAAATCAATCCAGCCGTTTATACCCATAGTGTGATTAAGTAATGTATTTATAATATCTTTTCCTTAAGTGATACTCGACATAATAAACAATCTTAACGTCTTTTCATCGAAATAACAGTGCATAAAATAAATCCTTACTAATATTATAAATAATGTTAGTTTGTTTGTTACCTTTAGACGCCTCATCAGTTAATACGACGTGATGAAATTTGGTATACCTTCATGTTGTATTTGGAATAGGGGAACATATTTTTATCCATATCCATATCGGTTTATCAATATATTCTAGTCACATGAACATAGCAGTGGATAAATACTAATAAGCACATGTATATAAAGAAAGATTATACAAGATTCACTATTTATTAGTCTACATTAAAAAAGAAAAAAAAGCACACGGCTACTTACTACATCTGGCAATAAGCGTTCCAGCCTTCTTCTCTCCTTTAATCATAAGATTTACCGGACATCCAGTCCTCAAGTCCACATTAGAGTCCACAAGGCATCTCACATTCACAATATCTCGCTCACCATCACTGTTCCACTGCACTAATAACCATTTCTCAAGTTTGCGCGACATTATTCCAAATACAAGTATACAACCTCGGTGAAGAGTCAGTAATGCACTGCTAAACATTTGTGAGACACCATTGGGGTACACTCAGGTAAAAGTTTTATTGCACCCCAACTACAGTGATTACACTCCCCGCCCCACACCCTAAACTCGAACAATGAGCTATTCGCCAAACCGAGCCTCAACAAAAAATGCATCCTTTTTTGCAACTTCCTAAGCAACTATCTTACAACGTCCTTTGTCACGCACTGAAGTTCTATTGTGGCGGGTAATAAAGTTTGTAAAATAACTTTAGTAGAACGCATAGTTTTTAAAAAGTTGAAATTATGTGAAACTAAATAATAATTTAATTGTTATTATTACAGTTATTTAAAACTTAGCAATATATAAAAAAGAACAAATATAAATTTTAATCTACGATCAGGTCAAGGGAAGTTATTTAGTCTTCACGACACAAGGAATCTTAATGTGGAGCCGAGTGAAATAATATCAGAAAGAAAACGGTAAGCACCTATATTGTACCATAATAAGTCTTCAGGAATGGCAATGCATTAGAGGTATCATGAACGAAACAGTATAGGTACTCAGTTATGTGCATGGTACTGCTCATGTCTATAGACGACGGTTATCACTTTCCATCAGGTGGGCCGTCAGCTTATTTGCCATTCTATGTTGAATAAAAAAAAGATACAATACCTACTTATTTTTGAGATTGTATTTAAAAAAACCCCGACTTTAATCGTGGCAATACACTTTTATTTAAAAAAGAGAACAGTTTTTTTGATTTAAAAACTAAACTACAGAACCTATTTTGATAAAATTTCTAAATCAAATCAAATGATATTGATTCTATAGGACCAATCTGAAAATATATCCTATCAGAAAAAAAAAAAGATTTTTCCGAATCGGTTTATAACTGACGGAGTTATGAAGTAATAAACATAAAAAACTACCGCCGTGTTGGTAACCTTCTTTTTGGAAGTCGAATGAAAATCCCATAGTTGTTTTTAATTATTCAAAATGTAGGTATATGTTAAACAAAGAACTTGCGATTTCAGTCGTAACAAATTAGTATCTGATCAGCAATAATCTCTAACATTGAGAAAAAATATCAAAATCGGCTTACAATTAGCTAAGATTATATTCCGTAACATAAACTACATAAAATGTCGTAAAAATATCGTCGAATTTAGTACCTCATTTTTGATATAGTATTTATTACTTACACTGGGGTAGAACAAACATAGATATGAATCTAAAGATTTAAATACATGAATTAATCTTTTAATGCAGTTTTTACCTTACAATAAAAAATGGATTAAAATTAGACCGATTCGGTTACCACTTACCATCAGGTGGGCCGTCAGCTTGTTTGACATCCCATGAAAAAAGTCTATCAACATAACAACTAGATATACAGTTAATAACAAAATTATACTGTAAGTTAATTAACGTAACGCATTACTTCAATTTAGAGTCGGTATTTAATAATAAGGATGCTTTTTAATAAGGTCTCAAAAAGAAATCTAAGAAAATATTTTTTATATTAATAAAGGCTAAAAAGCTATTATAAAATTATCGAAAAAGAACAACTGTATTTGTAGGAACAGCACTACATAATAATCTGCATAAAAGCACATAGTTTGTAATGTGTAACGTCGTTGGTATAGATACAGATTGTTCTTTAGATACTCTCTCTCTCTTCAGTCGTACACTCTTGGCAGAGTGGTCGTGGTTTTCACAATGACGGTGGATCGTCGGTGAGGCTCTCCTTCGCGATTGAGGTCCTCGCAATATGTCTCCATCTACTTCTGTTCGCCGCCGAGCGAGAGCATTCCACAATAGATTTCTGTGTGGCCGTTTTGATGAGGTCAGTCCATCGCGTTGGCGATCTACCCCGAGAACGTTTGCCTTGTACCGCTCCTTGGACAATTAAACGTTCCATACAATCTTCATTCCGGATGATATGGCCGAAGTATTTGAGAATTCGTATACGAACAGTTGACGACAATCTCTCTCTGATTTTCAGTTCATTCAGAATGGAAACGTTAGTTCGAAAGGCAGTCCAAGGTATTTGCAGCAGTCGTCGCCAGCACCACATCTCTAGAGCATAAATTTTTTTAGATACTACCTATTACTTATTTATCGAGGTATATCCATTTTTCTGACGTCCCACCCAATGGAAAATTTGTTTCTTGTTTTATCACTTTTGTATAGTGCAGATATTGTGTTTTTAAACCTATTGTTATATAAAATAGGAAGTTTGTAATGATATTTGCAGGGATGCCGACTTTGTGGGTGTTCAGACGTTCCAGCACTCACGAGAGGTAAATAGTGGGTGATGACGCAAGAAGTCATATAACTAAAGCAATCCTCACTTCATTATTTGTCGTTTAGGCGCGCTTGCTTATTCAGCAAGTACTGTATATCTTTTAGCTGAAATAATGATGATGTACCTAGCTTGTACTCAGTTATCAAAAGGGCATAAGCGCCCATGAAGATTTGTTATTTGAATGTTTGGATGTTTTTATATTTGGATGTTGTTACTTTGTTATACTTAACTAGCTGAATAGTTTTTAAATAATATTTGGACTATAGATAATCGATATCCTATCTTATTATTGAAAGATTAGTAGTACAACATATTTTTGTATCACTCAATCGTAGTCGCGAGGTTAAGATAGTTAAAGACTAAATTTAATTCAATTGTATTAATTTAAAAAATATGATAATTATATCATCATAAGATATCAGCACAAGATGTATTTAATAAAATGTGATAGGTACCTAATACTAAAATGTAGGTACTGATTATATATTTTCTACTATTAACATATATATAGGCACCACAATAAGTTGGAGGTTCTCTTTTCGTCTTCTTTTTTGCTACTATTAATTATACGTGTCTTTTACATGATCCTGTTATGCGATCAAAATGTTTATCAAAATTATTTTAATAATTAAAAAGTATTTATTTTACGAGAAACGAGTTATGCTATTATTCCTACACCATATTAAAAACAAAGGTCCCTGACGGAAGAGTGCAATAAACATCTTTCCCATAAATGTAAATGAATATCTAGAGAACGGCTACTTGGAGATCTGTACAAATAAGTTTCAAGTATGAGGAACAAACCCTTAAAATGGTATATGCCTTCAAACCGAGAAAGCCATGTCCTATAACGTAGTAACGGTGCGCGATTTCGATGATTTTATTATTCAAATAGTTAGTAATTACTAATTTTATAATTCGACTACTAAATTAGTAATATACTAATGTTCGAATGATTATACTAATTAGTGGTCGATCAGAATAATGAAAACAAAGCCCTTTTCTGTATTTACTACTACCAAGTCAGTTCCCTGTATCCACTACTATCACACTACTACCTTACCTATAGGGGATAATGAGTGACGCCTAAAAAAAACTACGGTCAACTACATTCCTTTCCAATATACATTATTATTAATAAATGGTTCGAGTCGACCAGACTCTGTTCGTACCAAATTATGCAACAATACCTACTAACCAATGATTTTAACTATTAGTAGAAGCGTATTGTGAATAAAATTAGTAGTCGGGTGACATTAGTAGTCAAATGATCTGAAAATAATTAGGATAATCCTAATGAATTGCTCATTCGAATAATCAGTAGACAAATTAGTAAAATCGCGGATCACTATAATGTAGTGATTATTTGCCATACACCAGCATTACAATAGCGTTTGCATTAGTGCCAGAAAAAGTTTTTTTTTCATAGTTTTACTTAAGCATACTATCTACACTTATAAAATCGACTCAAATAAATGTACAAAGTAGGTGAATTTGATCTTACAGGGTCCTAAAATTAAGTAATTTAATATGTGTAAAACAAAAATTACAGTTCTCACTATACATAATATAATCATTACATATATAAGGGTCTTAAGTTGACGGTATTTTAATAAATATAATTGATTTATTATTTACATAGTATAAGTATTATTGATTAGTCGATTACATGAATCGATTCTAATATTTTTGGAGATTGCAACACTAATTTAAATGTCAATAATTTTTATTTTGCTATATATCAATTTATTACATTCGCATTAATATCTATTTTATTTAAAAATGGAAACTTAAGCTGGAAAATTAGGTTTAAGTTCATCAAAATTAAAAGGGTTTTATAGTAATTAATATTAAAAATGGAAGCTGTGACTTTACCACAAAAGAAGAAATTAAGCAAAGGGAAATTTAAAAAGACTGTTAAAAATGTTCTGTGTAGGCCTGATCCAGTATTTTGGTTAGTTTATTTCGTGATTACTAATCACCGACAATGACTGATAACTGAGTCATGAATTGTGAGAAGATTCACGATAGTTTATGTTTATGGCAAAAGTAGACGATAGCTAGCTGCTAAAATGATGATCGTAAATTATGTTGAGGTTATGTAAATAATTTTATAGGCATTGTAAGTTTTTTTTATTAGGCTTTGGCTAACTAATGACAGTTATAGATTTTAGAATAACTATTTAATTTCCCATGAGTATTAATAATTATATTCAGATCATGTATTATATATTATGTACTTATCCGTATGCAATATTTAGACATTCAATTTACATATTCAACAAACATTTGAATTGAATTTAAATTTGAAAACCTGAGAATGTGTTAATTACAATTACTAGATTAGCACCTTACAACAACACACTAAATATGTTTGATAATATAAAGACTAATTATACTAATCCTTATGGAAACATTTCATTTACATATTAAGAAATATTAATCGAAATCTGTAAACCAAATTGTTTGATTGCAAAAGGAATTCAGTGCCAATACCTTCCATCTTTTAATACTACATTTCTTTTGTATTCATCTATACAAAAACCTATATTTCTTTTTCAGGCCAGTGGTTTTAGATGAACATAAACATTTAGTAAATAAAGCTTTAATGAAGTACAAGATACCTATACCAGAATTCAAAAAATTACATTGGAATGAGCTAAAATTAATTCCCAAAGAAAAAAGACCAAAACCACCTAAACTAAAGTAAGTGATTTTAATATTATTTTATAGGTTGGAAAAAAGAATTACTTGTGTTTAGTATTGTTAGTATTTTTTTCTTTGCTTTTGTTATTGTTTAGAATCAGGCAAGATTAAAATGTTAGATATATCTTTTCTCATACTTGACAACTCCACTTCTAATGTTGGGGTGAGCACCAGACAACTGAGGGTGAAAGGGACTGTTAGTAATGGGGTCTATCAATCTATTAACCCTTATTGGTGCCCAACAAACATACCAATAACATTCCATCATCATCCATTAGAAAAAAAAACTACACAACTATGGGATGGACAGTCTACCCACCTCCCTCTTAAATATGCCCATGACTCTGTAAGGAACTTCAACATATAAATTTCAGCATTCTAGTTACTATAGGTAATTTTGATTGCATTGATATGTCAGTAGTTATGCTTCTTTTGTCTTAAGATAATAAATAAATTGCAGTGTACCTACTTTATTAAGTGTCAGTATTATGTGTTATCATATTATGAATTGCTAATATTTACATTATTTATTTACATTCATGTTTAATATTTATATTATATAATGATGTATTTGCAGAAAAATTGATGGCTTGTTATTTGGCATCACAGAATGCAGTTCTGCTATACAATCTGGTGAATGCTCTGTTATCATTTTAGAAGCAGAGGTTAATCCCAAATTAATAATACAACCTATTCTAGAGAGTTGCATACGCACACAAACACCAGTTATCTGTTTACCAGGACTGAGAAAGATCAGTGCAGAATATTTTGGTATACCTACAAGTTCCTTAGGACTAAAAAAGCACTATTTGACTGATCTTTCAAATGAAATATTAAACATAGCAAAATGCTATGAGAAGATTGAGGATGTGCCAATGGATAATACTGAAGTGAATATGACAGATATTACTAAAAAGGAAGTCAACATTAATGTTAGTGAAACCACAAATAATGCCATTAGCTGTTCATATTTGTATAGAACTCACAAAAAATCAAGAATCTTTATACCATCTAATGAAACAACAGGCAAAGTAAATAAAGAATTTATTCAGCAGAACTTTATTGAATTATCTAAAAAGGCAGAAGTTAATAAAAATAACACTAATAAGTATATGAAAATGGTGTTGAAGAGACTATCAAACAATCCTAATAGAATCAAAGGGAAATGACAAAATAATCAATGACTTAAATGGTATACACAAGATGAAATTGGGTAAAGCAAGAGATGCATTACATTTCCATTGGCATTTAATCTCGATCTAATTTATCAACTAGAAGGAAATATTAACTAATATATGAATAAAACATTTTTAAAGAGAAAGGTATTTTATTGTATTTATAAGACATAACTATAATGTCAAAAAAGACATGTATTATAATAAGCATTCCTTAAGGAATGTGCATTGATAACGAACAAAAATGTATTTGGAATAACAAATTGTTTATAACAAAATTGTTACTTATTCCTCAACATTTCTGAACATAGAAACCAAATTTACCATGTTTTTATTGATTTGTAATTACAATTGAAACATTGGTGAATTTGATTCCTTAAATTATACTAAATTATTAATGCAATACTCCATAAATATTTATCTATACAAAGTGTTACACTATTGTTATGGAGCAAAGCATACTAGTAGATATATTTATCTTACGTTTTCAATCGATGCATTGCATTTAAGTTTTTAAACAGTTCAATTTAATAAAAATCAAACAATAATAATTGTATTTCTTGGTTATACCTATAACGATAATGACTATTAGTCCATAATAAGTCTGGCCATTGTATATAGCTAATACATACTAAATAGGAATGACCAAGTTACAATACAAATATAGCATATTAATATCAAACAATATATAGCAAATAACTTATTATTTGCATAATAAACTATATATAATGAACATTCGTTGTCAGACAATGTTTAGTGTCACTGAGGGTCACTTATAATTTTATAAGAAGGTTAAAAAATTTGCTTTACGTGAGTTATATAATACGATTTATTTCGTATAACCTGCAGATGAAACTAGTCCCATACTAGTAATATTACATCTCTATTGGGTAGTTTATTCTTAAGCTGATTATACAAAATACTACCACGATTTGCATAAGTATTTTTTAATGAGTATGATGTAATAGTATATATAAAACATTTCGTTAATACTAATGAAATAGGGAGACCCCTATACTAACAAAATGTAATGAAATAAAATGTAATTTTGGGGATAATTACAAATCCTTTTGTAACTATACCAAAAATTTAATATAGGAGTTAGACATAATAAGTTTTATACGAGTGTTTAATGACAAATATGGCCATAACTCTAATACACATAAATAAACTAAGATATAAAAATTTAACAAAAAGTTTCTATAATTATAAAATCTTGGTACATAGTATCAAGATTATTCATACAAAGTTACAACTTTATGGGAAAATTAACATAGTAATTATTATTTATACTATATGTAATAATTTGTTATTTGTGAACAAGTGGAGTAAATAAGAGGATTCACTGGAAGGGATCAATACATAACAGTAACAGAGACAATGAACCCAGAAAAATGTTATATTCTTATATTAAATTTTGTTAATATATTAACAATATTTTATGTAATACAAATAGACAATGAAATAATTTTGTACATCTTTAAAGCCTAAACTTAATTAATCTTCGTTACATAAATATAGTCATACACTTCTTAGAAGTGTATAACATACACAGTTTAAAATATACATACAATGTATATAAATGCCTATTCAATTATTAACACGACCACAAAACGGATCGGCATGATTGGCACAATCAGTTTCTGTACATTCTTTCTCTTCTGTCTTAATGGTATACGTATAATACATACGTATGACTTACTCAGTCGAAGCAGCAATAATCCGTTGAATAGTAATGTTGAACTCTTTTGAACATATGCTATCAATTTTTACGAGAAAATCGATAATAATTCAAACGTCAACATATACTTAACTATTTCTGGCGATACAGTGTTGTATTTGTCAGAGATACAAATATAGAGATCAGTGCAACGGCGGACGTGGCATCTGAGCTTCACTTGGTCTGTACCGCGCTAGGATGATTGCACACATCGTCTGTGCGTCTGTTTCTTCTGGGTATGCCGCCATTGCCTCCGCGACTTGCACCTCAGGGAATATTCCAGTGAGGTGAAAATGCATACGCCGCCTCGCATCCCAATGTTGTAACGCTCCTTCGGAGGCACACGGTGACAGGTGAGCACCAGCGGCGCCTGCGGCTCCTACGGGCGCAGAGGCAACTCTAGCGGCTGCCGTGTGCGTGAGTCGCGGATCACATGCGGGGTTCAGTGTAAGCTGACGCGCTAATTTACGATGTGTGTTTGTGTCGGGTGGCGACATGGGCTGTGAAATTAGTGGTGGTTGCGACGGCCCGGCAAGTTGCATTTGTGCGCGTTCGAAATGCGTCGCAAGTGTGGCGTCCGCTAAGCGGGGTGTTGCAGAGTGCGCTCGTGCCAGTGGCCGTTTATTATCAGCGGGTCGGCCATCTGGAGGTAAGCTGACTGTGTGCAGATCGCGAGCTCGTAACGCACGTGCCGCTCTCTCGGACAATTTCTCGGCGACAGATTTATGTGGTCGTCCGGCGCGTTCAGGATGATGGAACTTACATTTGTTTCCATATGTACATTTTCGTCCGTAAGGACAAGCAGGTGGTGGTTCGGCGCGAGATGGGGGCGCACGAAGGAATGCGTCGAGGGTCGGTCCTGATCTCCCAAGAGGGTCATCGGGTGGCATGAATCGATCATTCACGAAGGAATACATAAGGAGTCGCTCTTCGACGACTTTGCGGAATTCGGGATTCTCCGCTGCTAGATCACGATAGTTGTCATTGGAGACTACAATGCCGTCCGTGTCTGCCGCTAGTCGCAATATGTACCTGTCATCGTAGCAGACGAGACGTTTGCCGCCGACCAGTCGACTAGGAGTGTAGACGAGTACCCGATCGCGTTCGAGTCGCTCCAACGCGTCGCGGTCTGCGACCGGGTTATCTGGCCGCGATGCTTCTTTACGCCACTTGGGTACGAACACTATGATGTCTTTGTGGCCGCGGGCGCGAAACCAGTCGACGCATATTTCGATGCCGCGGCATGAAAATACCTCCTTGTTGCCGTGGCTAAGAAAGAGATAGATATTTATTAGTAAATATTATAAGTTAGAAGTATCATTAAATTACCAATAATAACATATAATGCACTTTTTTAATCTGATGATTTTATTATGTAGATAAATAAAAACTAGGTATCTTTCAAGCTGTTTATGAATATATTCGTTTTCATGTATTTTTAATAAAATTATCTAATCTAGAACTGAATATCATGGGTTATTAATTATTGTGGCACCATTTCTCTAAACCTATCTCTTAACGTAATATTTTAATTTGATAGTTTCGCGAAATTACTGTTCATTGGGCCATTAAATAATTTTGACTTAAGTCTATTACAAATTAAGTTTATATTAACCCTTAAAGATTTCGCTGTGATATCAAAATGAAATTGAAATTTTATAGATAAGTTAGAGGAAGTAGCGCCTCAGAATCGATCCTACTGTCATAATTATCATTACATCGTAGTAAATACATTGAAAATGACTGATAACAAGTAATTACCTCATGGCCACATTACTGCCGTCAATAACGATCTGCCTGAGTGGTTCGCGGTCAGGTGGCGGGTCGGGGTCTGTGGGGGGCGACGGCGACAGCGTCCGCGGCGGTTGTTTAGCTGCTAGTTTTATTAATTCTGCTAGAAGCTCGTTGCGAGGAGGGTCAGGTCCCAACCTCTGCAGCGCCGTCTTAGCCTGCCGCTCCGAGTAACCCAACTTTACGGCGAACTCGATCTTCGCCTGTCAAAACAAAAAAATAATTATGTACACAGTGATAAAAGAGTATTTATGGGGGGAAAGGGATTGTTAATAATTGGGCTTATTAACCCCATTGCTAGCAATATACACTATCAGGTATATATTGCTAGCAATGGGACCTCCACGCGGTTCCTCTTGGATAATATCTTGTTTGATCTATCGCTGAATTCATCACGATGGGCTAACTGACCTGCTTCATCCTCACCTATCAACTCTCACTGTTGCCCCGCCAATGTATACCGTTAACGCAGGGTTACAATTCCATTATCATCTATTTAAAAAAAAGAGTATTCATAAAACATAACCTTTAGTAAAATTTTAAACAGCAATTTCACAGCTTTGGAAGCTAAGAGTCTTCTTTCATAATAATTTCAACAAGGTTTTTAATGTAAACAATTTTTTTTTTATTACACGATATATAAGTCGTCAATTCTACGCTGAATTATTTATTATTTTTGGAATTACAGCTCATACCCGTCTTCGATCATGTTAATATAATTTTGTATCTATTGAGGTAAGTTTTTGTATAATAAAACAAACTATTAGGTAATTCTTGTGGACTATTCACCTGATTAGGCTGCGGTGGCGCAGGTGCCAGGGTTACATACTCCGCGAATTCGGCAGCGAGCGTGTCCGACGGTGTACGAGAGGCGGCCCTGTGAGCGCCTTCGTCCTCGCACTCCGAGTCGTAGCTAGAGTCTTCTCCGCGCTCGCCCGCCCACCCCAACGATGACTCCACATATTTCTGTAAGAAAATATACTTGTATTAATTATAATTTTCACGGCAGATCATCGGGTGATATCATCCTCAATCAAAATAGTAATAAGTTAGTATTTTTTATATATATTATTTGGAATTTTATAAATACACGTACGTTATAAATACATTTATGGTAAAAGAGTAAATAGAATATTAAAGCGTCAGACATAATACAAACAGCCTTGACTTAAATTCAGACTTAAATAAATACTAAAAAGTGCAATGAATTTATAAACTAACGATTCGCCCCGGTTTCGCACTGGTATATATAGATAGAACGATAGTCTTTTACCATATATTAGTTTTCACAGACAAATTTTTGATACTTTGGTACACTATTATAATTATCTTACAGATCTTTTTTTTTTTTTAAATAATATATAACCTATATCACTCGCTGAAAATGTATATTTTTTTTTCGATGGGTGAAAATGGTATAGTAACCCCGCCTGCACTAACGATATACGCCGGCGGAGCACCAGTGACGGGTGATAGATGAGAATGAAAACAGGCCAGTTAGTCCATCGTGATGAATTCATCAAGAATTAACCATGATAGTTTCCAGGGGGAACCGCGAGGAGGTCGACCTGGTTGAGTATATTGCTAGCAATTGGATTCTCAGTCTCCATTGCTAACAATTCCTTCCCTACTGAAAATGTATATTGTTTATCTATAGGTGAAAGAATTTTTAAGTGACGAATTCCACGACAATTAACCATGAGTTTCCAGGGGGAATCACGTGGAGGTCAACTTAATAGGGTATATTGCTAACAATGACATTGTTAGACCCCATTGCTATCAATCTCTTTCCCCCCTGAAGAAGGGGTTAATCGATTTAATCAATTGTCTGTTTGTACTAACATTAATAATAATATGGAAGGGTATGTTTGTTTGTTTCAACGCAGTAATCCTTGGAACAATCATTCGGGTTTGTAAAATCTTTTTGCATATGATAAATCATTTTTTTTTTATTAAGGTTATAGACTATTCAACATCACTATACAACGACGGGTAAAGACGCGGGATACAGCTAGTCCTCTATATACATAATATATAAAACCCGTCACGATGTTCATTCAAGTTAATTTCCGAAACAGTTTAACCGATTTAATAGAAAGTAAAAGTTCAAAGTGAAAAACATTCTACAACTTTAAAAACAGGATATATTTTTTATCCCGATAAACAAAAATGAACCCAATAGATAAAGTAATTGGTAAATAAATAAAATAAATAAGTATATAACGTTATAAATACAATATTTTTAAATAATTATTATACATTCAAAGTGAAGAATTGTATACAGAATAGAGATGTAAGTACGTATTATGATTTTTTTTTTATTTGGTATTAAAACTGTTTAAAGTGGTATTTTTTTTATAAGTTTATTGATTAATAAGCACATTTGACGTTTCATACAAACAGCGCCGCCTGAGGACAGGGTCATCAGGGCGCCGAAGCGGATCTACAGATGATCATTGACCTTTAGCGTGTGCGCAACTGTGGAGCACACCGGTTATAATTCATTATTTCACTAATTTTGACAACACTATTTGCTGTTTTACGTCCAGAGGCTATCAATAACGGTCTATATAAACAGACCTTTTCATAGCAACCGTATTTGGTCCAGGACCTAGTTAAATGCAATAATTTTGTGAACTATAAGAGGACATGTATTATGTATTATATATCTACACCTACTCTCCAGAGATGGGCCAACATGTTGTCGTAAGTGCCAATTTAAGACCTCAAAGATTTTATGAGTTCGTTTCGAGAGATTAAGAAAAACAGTTTTTATTAGACAAATTCAGAGTATTTATGACATCTGTGATCACTCACCCGGATGTCTCAAACGCGATCTTTATAACAGATTTTATTCGAATGGAAGACAGCCTTTGCTTAGGAGCAGAACACCAGACAGGCTGACGTTTTTTTTTTTTATCTACAAAGTTGATATTTCTCATGCCAAATATTTTGTTATAAATATTGCTTAGTCATAGTCCACATCCGCATGCCGTGTATAGACAGAATAGGAGGAATTAGAATAGGAACTAAAATATTAGTTGTCATAAGTAGTTAAGTTATGAAATAATATTTGGAAATCGCATAAAGAAATTAACTCGTGAAATCTCTTTTTACCCAATCCTTAAATTTTAAGCAAACAGAGCGAGCAAAAGTCATGATTCCGTTCCTTAACTATGTGTGCTGTTCTTTCTAAGCCAATTTAAAAAATATTTTTAATATTGTAATAATTTTGCAATTCATACATACATCTGAGTTGGTTCCATACTATTTTTATCCCGATATAAGATAATCTACTCACTTTTAGAGTTGATCAAAAAGTAATAGCATTTCAAAAATGTAACAATATTATAATTCGTGATGTCAACACTTATATATGGAATATTAAACTTGACCTACATATACTTATGTAAAAACCTTTTATTATTAAAATATTAAGAACTAAGTAACGTTAGTGTTAATATAATACATGGAGGATATTTAAAATGTTTAGTGCAACTCTTTTTAAACTCTAGCTATAGGCTGCACTTTGATTCCAAAATATTTTAAATTTACTAGAGATTTAAATAAATTATGACATTTCAGGATATATCCTACCTAATGGGATTGATTGGGGGGAAGGGATTGTTAGTAATGCGGACTACCATCTCAGTGCTAGTAATATACCCTGTTAGGTCGACCTCCCCGTGGTCCCCCCTGGAAACCATCGTACTGAATTCCAGATAAAATCATCACGATGGGCTAACTGACCTGGCTCTTCATTCTCACCTATCATCCCTCACTGGTGCCTCGTCACACTCATCAGCGTATACCGTTAGCGCAGGTGGCGCAACTATGAAATAATAGCGCAACGCTATTATTTCATAGTCATCCATTAAAAAAAAATGGATTGATTTTGAAATCCATGAGATATTATTACACAAAAAATGTTTTATTAAAATTTTTAATTAGTATGGTATCAACACGATTTTTTTCAAGACGGAATAATAACGAAGATATCGTGCAATATAAAAGGCAATTCTTTTAAAATTGGTTCAAAACTTTGTCCTAAATTAGTGGATTTTAGAGATAAACTTGACCTTTTAGAATTGACCTCATTTTGTCCAAAGATAACTTAGTAGGTCTATAGTGATGGGACCGTACATCCGGGCGCAAGGCACGGAAAGGCCCCGCCCACTACACCTATCAACCGCGCAGCCGGATGCGACTTTCTAAAAAATATGGTGCGCGCAAAACACCAACAACTCAACCGCGCCGGTGCAATAGCGAAACAAAATAAACTTGTTTAGGTTTTGACTTGGTCATATTTCTGTTAATATTAGAGATTGAACAATTTTGCATTGTTACATTAGTAATCAAAAACTTATATAGTTTCCGTAAATCTCTTATTATCTAATGTCGTCTAAATATCTATAATCTTAACAGACATTGCAATTTATTAAGATTGCTAAGCAGAGCTCGGCTATCCTTTACACGAAGCAGTTCATTTAAATTTTAGAAAGTTCATCCTTAGATTCCAACACAAGATTTTAATCTATATAAATAAAAATCAATTTCCGAATATTATGTACTTGTAAGCGTACCACTTCAGAACAGCTTTTTTTTATACAACTTAGAATGGCAAACAAGCTGACGGCCCACCTGATGGAAAGTGGTAACCGTCGCCTACAGACATGAGCAGTACCATGGACATAACAGAGTATACTGTTTCGCCTATGATACCTCCCATGCGTTGCCATTCCTGAGGACTCAGGTGTTATTCCTCTGTACCCAGTAAATTCACGCCATATCCCACCCTTCAAACCGAAACACAGTCATGCAAACATAACTGCTTCACGGTTGAAACACAAATGGGACAGAAGTACCCAAGCAATCGACTTTTGTACAAAGTCTCTCTCTGGTAAAGCTGCACTTAATTCATTTGTATGAAAGAAAATGTTTGAAAAACCGTACGGAAAAAAATGCACCGGTATGAATCCGGGGCGGGCAACTAGTTTGAAATATTCACGTTTCTATTCGATAATAATAGCCTCGTATTAGCATGAGTAGAAATGATCGTGATTATGTCAATCGCCGTAATTGTTTTCTACTCTTATCAGCCGTAATACGCATGTTCTGTATGCTTGTAAGTTCCTTATAGGTTCCACACATTCATATGATAAATAATACACAGCTATATTTTATTCTCTAGTGTATGCTCACAATAAAACATATTACATATATTTATCTATAATAAATCTCTATTAGAATTATGAACAATTAAAAATTTTGGCCTCCAAGTTAGGGCAATTGCAATTTTGTATTTTACTGAATTTGGTGTTACTTTGCAGAATTTCAAATGTCACAAAATTATTATTGATGTTTATTTTATAGCAACTGAAGTGGCCAACATGAGAAGAAACCGAGTGAATTGCAAAATTAACAAAATCTGTTAGAATTGGCGAGGACATTGATACAGGCAAATTGAGCACGTTGTTCTTTTAAAGTTACAGTGTGGTTGTTGGAACACAAGAACGACAATATAAGAGGTATTTATACTTTGATATTTTATGTTCTAGTCTATTGCGTACTTGGTATGTGTATATACTAAGAAAAAAATGTTATGAAGTTACATAGATTTTTTTAACTTATACAATCTATAATTATTATTTTTATAAATAGAAATGCAAATGAAGAATGACAAACGAGCTGACAAAAAGTAATAAATCGGTTAAAAAATATAAACAATAGTATCGACATAACAGTATACTCTGTTATGTCGCTCATTTCATGAGTTTCCATTCCATAAATGTGTGTTATGAATAAATATTCTATACTAAAGTCATTTTGTAAAATGACATTTTGTCAAATAAATAAAGCCATGATCATTACTAGTGCGTTAAAATTAGAGAGAAGTTCATGTGCTCATTTAGCTTTATTTCCAAATGTTTTCACAACTGGTAACCGATAAACAAAACATCTTAACC